CAAGTCAGCCCCGTGCCGTGGGAGCTCGCGCGGCCGTCGGCGCCGCCCATCGCGGCCCTCAAGAAGGCTGGGCGGCAGTACATGATGGCCGCCGTGTGCGAGGACAGGATCGCCTACGACGCCAGCCCGTACCTCGACGACTGGAAGCTCCTGCGCGGCTCGGTGCCCGAGGAGCTGCGCGCCGCCTGCAAGTTCACCATGCCGCCGCCGTGCTACTTCCACCTCCGCCTGGCCCCGGGTAAATCCTACACGGCGAGCGTCTATCCCGACGACGAGGCCTTCTTCGCCGACCTGGCGAGTGCCTACCGCCGGGAGATCCGGACCCTGTACGACGCCGGCCTGCGCAACCTGCAGATTGACGACCCGACCCTCGCCTACTTTTGCTCCGACGACATGGTCGCGTCCCTGCGCGCCGAGGGCGACGATCCCGACCGCCTGCTGGACCTGTACCTGAGGGCGCACAATGACTGCATTGCCGGCCGGCCTGCCGACATGCATGTCGGGCTTCACGTATGCAGAGGTGAGGCCTGTCCAACGCCGCAGGACGCCATGACATGACTGGCGGGTGCCTAATCTCTTCTTCCTTGTTGACTGGCAGGCAACTTTTCCAAATCGGTGCACTTCAGCGAGGGGTCGTACGAAAAAATCGCCCAAAAGTTCTTCACCACCCTCGACTACGACACCTTCTTCCTCGAGTACGACGACCCGCGCTCCGGGGGGTTCGAGCCGCTCCGCTTCCTGCCCAGGGGCAAGAACGTCGTGCTGGGCGTCGTGACCACCAAGGACGCGCGGCTCGAGGACGCCGAGACGGTCAAGAGCCGCGTGCGCGAGGCCGCGGGGATCATCGCCCGCGGACAGGGCCGGAGCGTCGCCGAGGCCATGGCCGACATTGGCATCAGCCCGCAGTGCGGGTTTGCCAGTGTCTCCGTCGGCGCGGATGGCATGACGGAGCAGAAGATGTTTGACAAGCTCAGGCTGGTTGGTGATATTGCCAGGGAACTGTGGCCTGAAGCGTCGCCTGGTGTGAGTGGTTCGACGTAGAGTGTTGAGCCGAAACAACGCCGGCCATGGTTTTAGGAAATGTCCGTCAGAGCATGGCGTGCCGAGAAGAGTCGTGTACAGCTCGTAGTTACACGGAGATGTATCTGTGGCTAATTGTAGAAAGGCCGAGATGATTGGTGTTGGCGCACATCTTGAAGCGCGTTGCTCCCGGAAGGTTGCTGCATCGATCGCCTATCCTTTTTTTCTTTTTTTCTGTAGCTGCTGCGTTGTCTCTTCTGTGTATCACGGAATTTAAATGAAAAAAAATGTAAACGGGTGCAATTGATTGATGGTGTGATGTTAAGCAAGCCACCCAACAAGGGCATTGGACGACGAAGCAATGTCACCGGATCACCTCAACACCTCGGGAGTCGGCAACTACTAGACATATTCCTAATTCCGATTACACAACAGTCAATCAAGCCCTCAAGGATATAGTCGCCAGGACTACTCTTGTGTAATTACTTATCGTGTGGCCGTCGCTCACTTTGCCGTTCCAAACTGGCAACCAATCAGACAAAACAACAAAGGCGCCATTTCGACGCAACTCGCACCACCATTTCGTCACCTAGAGGAATATTCGTGAAACGGCTCCTCCTCTATTCATCTCCAGCAATCGTCGAGCTCTCACGATGGTATTGACCTGATCAGCCAGCCCGCACAACTTACAAGTATACGACAGAATTCAGGTCAAGACGAGCAAAAGGCTACCTACCCCGCAACAGCGGCCCACAGAAGCTCTCTCTCGAGCCGACGAAAACCATTGGGAAAGAACCAGGCGTTTCGGTTGCCGGTATTTCGCCTCCAAATTCATTGACATCAAATTTCTTCTCAAGCCTTGAATTAAATACCCACCAGCGCACCGAGATAACTTTCACCGCTGTTCTCTTGGCTCTCTTCCAGACAAGATGCCCATCTCGAGAAGCTTGGTCGTCCCCCCCTCCGCCAAGCAGCTCCCACTGCCTGATTCCGCCTCGAGAGCCTTTCTCGTCTTCATCTCCTCGGAAGACCCCGAGACCAAGCAGCCGTGGTGCCCCGACGTTCGGGCCTCGTGGCCGCACATCCAGGCCGCGTTTGGCGGCGACGAGGCACCGACCGTGTCTGTGGTTCAAGTTGGCCAGAGGCCAGAGTGCGTCTCCTCTCTTCTCTTTGCGACACACCTCGTCCGTGGTGGAATAGTGCTACAAGGACAGACAGCTGACACGGTGACGTAGATGGAGGGACCCCGAGAATGTGTTTCGAAAGAATTGGAATGTCAATGGCGTCCCGACGCTTGCCAGGTATGAGCGTGTGAATGGCGAGATTGTCGAGACGGCTAGGCTGGATGAGACGGGCATCATGGACGAGGCCAAGTTGCGAGGGTTTATTGGCTGAGTTGACTACGGCATAGGCAGGGGGTACTGGTGGCGGAAGAAACACAATAGACGGCTTTACAAGCCTAGGCTGGGTATAGTAGTTACTACTGTTATCAATGATACAATGCGTATGTCGTGGTGACGCAAACGAGGTGTGGATATTGCACCAGTGAACTGCCTTGGATAGAGTACGGATGATTCTTACGGGATACGTCTGGTGGGCTGTTTCCCAGGCTCCAGCGATCAAAACGCCCGTCTGGTGAAATCGCTGGGACGGACCACGTCATGAAGGGTGCGCCTGCTGGGAGAGAATAGTTTAGCGGCATCCGGGGGAAACGTGGCTCTTTTGAAGCGGCGACATTTAAATTGACGCCTCGCCGACAGCCAGAATGGAAATGATTTAGTCATGAAGAGCATTGCCCGTGTTGTCCGTCGGCGAAGCGGGCTCCAATGTTGAACACCAGACACTAGATTCACCACCAACATTGAAGTGTCAGTCACGTCCCTGCTCGTAACTTGGTAGTACGTATGTGTTTGACTGATCCCTGTCGAACCCGCTGATCTGGCAGCGTCCGCGACCCCGGTGGCGTGCATCAGAGTTTAATTGGCACCAGACGTCACGCGTTGCACACTGCAGGGCTTCAATGTTCTGGATGACTGCATGATCCATATTGATTGATGCGACAGGGATCAATAGGTCACCGGTGCCCCGGACGCCCTGCTAAATCCGTCATCGCCCAGCGCCTAGCGCCGCCCAAGACGCCCTGGTCCTCATCGCATTGATCTCTCAAACGCTGCCAACCTCAAACTTCCTCCTCCCCTCCTCACCGAGCCGGAATATCCATCGTTGTCGATTCGTCGCTCACTCCTTATCGCCTTGGCCCTCCTCCGCCCGCGGAACATACAAAGCGCCTTTGTTTCTCATCCAGAGAGTCCCGGGGCCACTGGCCTCGACGAAAAAGCCGCAGCCATGTTCGACCTCTTTGCCATGCTCTTATCGTACGTACCCAGCTCTGTCTGCCCCGCCGCCATGTCGTCACAACCCACCCCGCGTGCTCATTTCCATACTCTCGTGAATGCCAACGCCAGACATCGCGTGCTGATCCGCTCGCCGCAACAGCTCCGTCGCCTCCTTCCTATTCCCCATCTTCGCCTCCTACAAGGCTCTCAAGACGTCGGATCCCGCTCAGTTGACGCCATGGCTCATGTACTGGGTTGTTTTCAGCATCTGTTTGCTGGTTGAGTCGTGGCTATCCTTTATCCTCTTCTGGTGCGTACCCCAGCCGTCAAATGTGAAACAAGCCGGTCAACTTACACAGCCTTGGCCGTCATAGGATCCCATTCTACGGCTATCTTCGCCTGCTCTTCTTCCTCTACCTCATTCTTCCTCAAACCCAAGGCGCCCGTGTTCTCTACGAAGAACATGTCCACCCTTTTCTCGCAGATAATGAAACCAGCATAGACGAGTTCATTGCCAGCGCCCATGAGCGCCTCAAGGCCGCTGGCATGACCTACTTCCGCCGCGCCATCGAGTACCTCAAAACCAACATCCTGAACCTTCCTCCCTCGGAACCCGAACCCTCGCCGTCCCCATCATCCGCTGGGCCGCAGGGCTACACGCAGTCGCTGCTTGCGCGGTTTAGCGTCCCGACGACAAGATGGGCCGGCACCGCCAACACTGGTAACGAGTTTTACAATCTGCTGGCGAGCGCAGTTTCCGCTGCTGCTTCCAACGCCGGTGGGTTTGCTGGCAGTCCCGGTGGCTCGTCTGGCAGAAGCATGACTGACTCGGGAACTCTGATCCCCCCCAACCTGCGAGGCTCGGCCGAAAAGATGAACTTTATCGCTGCTCAGCGTGAGCGCCTCAATATTGTCTTGGGCGCCTTGGATCGCGAGGCGCAGCAGATTCAACGTGATGGCACCGGAGCCTCTCACACCGTGCCACCCGGAGGCTTTGCGCCAACCGGCACACGCGACATGGACGACGACCAAGTTACTCAGCGGCCACCTAGTGGACTCAGCACGTTGAGTGCCCTAAGCAAGAGCCGCAGCGAGACCGACTTTGAAAAGGTCGAAGCCGAGAGCGGGGCGGAAGATGATGTGGCTCTTCGTCGGCGCCATGTCCCGTCCGGCACGGCAGGAGGTTCCTGGATGCCATGGGGCTGGGGCGGCACTGGTGATGCGACTCCTGGTCCGGGAGGGCCCAAGGAAGATTAGGAGCTTCGGTCGCAATGGGCCAGAAAGGAGTTTGGGATACATGTGTAGAATTCGCTGCTCTTTGGTTTAGATATCCCTTTTTTTCTTTTTCGTCGTTTCTGAGGCTTGATCACTCTCTGAGCCGACATGCCTCCTAATATACGGTCGCGGCCGGCCAGTCAGTGCCCCCCTGCCTTCAACTTGACTAGACTCAGTTCACAAGATTCGACTTGCAAAGACTTGAAGTCAATGGCGAAACTCCGTCGCTCATGCATTACCTACCAAAACGCTACATCTAAGAGACCTTGTCGCATATCGTACACGCACTACCGCCGCCCATCCACTACCTCGTCTTATGAATAAATGTCTATCCCGGCACAGTAGCCCTCCGTGATTAGATTATTTCCTCTACTTCGCCAGGCTATAGGGGTACGAAACCTGCACCTCGCCCTTCTTGAACCAAAACGCCTTCCTCTTCTTGGTGGTCGCGTGCTCGACCCACGCCTGCTCCATGTGCGTCCTCTTGAACCACCGCAGGAAATGGGGATCCCAGAGCTCCGAGCCGATGCCGAGGTCCTTGCAGCAGCGCATCAGGGCGTTGGACTTGCACCCCTCGACCGAGGAGGGCAGCTGGTCGGGCGAGAAGTAGGCGTTTTCCCCCTGGGCCTGCGAGACGAACCTGTCGGCTGGGTGTCAGCAAAATTATTTTTATTTTATTTTTCTTCTCTCTTCTCCCCACGTAAAAGAAGGGGTTCCACGTACCGGCCGTCGACGATGAGCGCATACTCCCTCGTGACGATGGAGTTGCCGACCACGGCGTCGCCCTTGGGGATCATGCCCCAGCCCATGGGGCCAAAGGCCTCGTTCAGCCGCCGCCGGTACTTGATCTCGGGGAGGTAGACGACGCCGTCGGGCTTGACCTCGATGTCCTTGATGGCGAGCGGCGCCATGAGGGCCCGGAACTGCTCCTCCGTTACGGGGCGGGAGGATATGCCGTGGAAGCTGTTGGCCCAGTCTACCGCCGGTATGCTCGCGGCGTCGACGGGCGGCTGCGACCCTTCGGCCCGGTAGGCGATGGTCCTGGGCTCATATATCGCGTCCGCCTCGGTCGGGGAGGAGCTGGAGCTGGAGCTGGAGCTGGTACTGGTGCTGGCGCTGCGGGCGGGTTTGGCCGCCGTCTTGGCCTTGGCCCATTTTGAAGCTGCGGGGGCGGGTTTCGAGGCCGCTGCCGGAGTTGGCGAGGGTTGAGCGGCCGGCGCAGCTGCCTCGGTGGCATAGAACCGGGCTGCGAGAGGGAGGGACGGCGCGCGGGGGGCGAGGGCTCGTGCTGCCGCTGAGGCGGCTCGTCTGGAGAGCATCATGGTCTCATGTGGGCTTGTTTGGGCGCATGTAACGGGGTCGGGGGGCGTTGGAGACAGGCGGCGGCGGTGGTGTTGTTGTGCGGGAGAATGGCCAAGAGAGGTTGGTGTTGAAGCGGTTTGGTCATGTGTAGCTGGAGGAGGAGGAGAAGAAGATGGGAGCTTTTCCCCGTGAATTTTTAGATGGGAGCCCCACACAAGGTGTTTTTGTAATCATAGCTTGGCCAAGGAGTCGGGACATTGCATTGAAAGCGGTGATGAATTGATGGCAATGTTGCATATGGCTACACATTTATTTATTTACACAGTGCTGCTTCAGAGTCACGCATCTTTGCTTGATGTGCGCTCGTCGTTTCCATGACGCTTCCAGCATTGCTTGAATGCCTCCATCTGAGAGGCGGCACGTCTGGTCAGTGACACTCTGGAAAAGAAGCGCGCGGGGATAACAAATGGTCTAGTCTAGCATTGTTCGAGAATGGAGGCTATTGAAGCTTACCTCTGCGGCGCAGGCCCTCCAATCCTTCTTCTCAAAGTAGCAATCGGTCATTTTCATATTCTCATCTACAAACACGTCAGTCCATGACACCCAACAAAAGTGTCTCCGCTTGCCCCGTCATGCGCCGGAAGCAAAACGACCCCCAAAAGAATTGAAAAAAAAAAAAAAGACTGATGCATCGTCAATTAGAAACAAGACTACTTACCTGCACATCCAGTGCTGAATATTCTCTTGTCCCTGCATCGCAATTGTGTGAGCGTCAGTGTGTCGCGGCTCAGCATCGGGGCCGGAGACGTTTCGAGGCAGATGGCCACCCCCAACAAACGGCAGGAACGTGAGAAAGCCCACTCACTCACCACTCATCCGGCTCATCATCGTCCACGGGCTCCGTCACAGACGAAAGTTTGCCTTCGTTCTGGGCCATTGCTGGCTGATCCGGTTCTGGGCGCGACGACTGCGACCCCATTGCGTACCCTTTGGTGTCGGGCAGTACAGAAGAAAAAAGGCAAGTTTGGTGACGGAGGGGAAAATTGCCGACTTTCCGCGGGCGCGACCATCTCCATCGGCAACTTTTGGTTGAGACCCTGAGGCATCATGACGCCCCGGCGGCTCAACGTCCTCGTCTATACGGGTACGCAGCCACTTTTCTGGGCCTCCATGACGCCGAGTTCCTGACTTTTTGAAAATCTATCCAGGTACGGGGACTACGTCTGAATCGGTCCGGCAGTGCATGTACTCCCTCCGGCGCCTTCTTTCGCCCAACTACGCCATCATCCCCGTCTCAGAATCGGTCATTCTCAAGGAACCATGGGCTCCCACTTGCGCGCTCCTCGTCATCCCCGGCGGCGCAGATCTGGGCTACTGCAGAGTTCTCAATGGCGAAGGGAACCGCCGCATTGGCGAGTTTGTTCGCCGTGGCGGCGCGTATCTGGGCCTCTGTGCTGGTGGATACTACGGGAGCAGTAAGTGTGAGTTTGAAATAGGGAACAAGCCGCTTGAGGTTATTGGAAGCAGGGAGTTGGGTTTTTATCCCGGAACCTGTCGGGGAGGCGCATTCAAGGGATTTGAGTACCGCAGCGAAAAGGGTGCGCGTGCTGCCGTCCTGAAGGTCGCAACTGGGGCGTTCAAGAACGGCCTGCCGGAGACATTTTCTTCTTATTATAACGGAGGCGGTGTTTTCGTGGACGTGGGTAAAGTGACGGGACGCAAGGTGGAAGTTTTGGCGTCCTATGCGGAAGACTTGGACGTGGATGGCGGCGATGGCAAAGCTGCTCTGGTGTTATGTCATATTGGAGACGGCAAAGCTCTGCTGTCCGGTCCTCATCCCGAGTAAGTGCATGTGTAAACTTGCAAAAGAAAAAGAAAAGACTGCAGATGTCAAGGCTAATAACTGATAGATTTGCTCCTGTAAACCTCTCTCCGCAACCTACGATCCCAGGATACGACGACCTTATCAACAAGCTCCAAGAAGATGACGATAAAAGATTCAGCTTCTTAAAAGCCTGCCTGGAAAAACTCGGTCTCGAAGTAAGCGCCGAAAATGCAACACTGCCCACGCTCTCCAGCATCCACCTGTCTGCCGTCGACAACTCCCAAGTCTCGGAGCTGCTCTATGCCTGGGCCGAAGTCATTGACAAGGAGAATGGAGAGGAGTTCATCGCAGGTGAAGCGGACAGGTTTTGCATTCAAAGCGACCAGGATGGACTCACGTTGGAAGACCTGCAGCGGTCCCTGCCAGCGGCGGATGAGCATCCTGCACGCGAGACCGGCATTATCGACTACAGCACTATCACAAAGCGTGTCATTGCTCATGAAAAAGCGCTGCCGACTACAGAAATGACTCCTCGTTTCGACCATAAGCTTTACTTCTCGAGTCTCCGGAGATTCCAGGTGAAGGAGGACGGCGCCGAAGATTGGGGCAACATCCTCATGTACGGCGATGTGGTCACGAGCACCAACTCCTTGCTAGAAAAGTACGCCAGGCTATGGGGAACTCTTTTGGCGGAACGAAGACCATGCTGACGTTCCTCAACAGGAACCCGAAATTGATCTCCAAGCTCCCAACCGGCTTCACATTCTCTGCAGCAACCCAAGTTGCTGGCCGTGGCCGTGGGACCAACGTCTGGGTCGCGCCCCCAGGAGGACTCATGTTCTCGACAATCATAAACCACCCTGCCCACCTAGCCGCTTCCAGACCCGTAGTATTCATCCAGTACATAGCTGCTATTGCCATCGTGGAGGCCATCCAGTCATACGGTGTTGGCTATGAGAACCTCCCCATCAAGCTCAAATGGCCAAACGACATTTGTAAGTCATTACCGCCTGAATCCTCACCCCCAAATTCCATGCCATACTAACGGGCAAACCAAAAAAACAGATGCCCTCGACCCCACAAAACCAGCATCGTCAAAAACATACGTCAAAATCGGTGGCATCCTCTCCCAATGCGGCTACTGCGACGGCTCATACCAAATCGTTCTCGGAATCGGCATCAACGCCATCAATCCTCGTCCCACCACCTCCATCTCCGATCTCCTACCCGCGAATGCGTCTCCTCTCCATTTGGAATCCTTGCTGGCGAGAATAGTAACTCGCCTCGAGTCCATCCACGCGCAGTTCCGCCGCCAAGGCTTTTCCGAAAACCTGGAGCAAAGATACTACCGGCACTGGCTGCACACGGGGCAGGCCATTTCGCTCGAGGCGGAGGGTGGCGTGAGAGCAAGAGTGCTGGGCATCACGAGGGATTGGGGCATGTTGAGGGCTGAGGAGACGGACGCGGAGGGACGGGGGACGGGCAAGATATGGACGCTGCAGAGCGATGAGAATAGCTTTGATTTCTGGAAGGGCCTGGTGAGGAGGAAGCAGTAAGGGAGGGCCTGGGTTTTGAAGAATCACACATACATAGATAGGGAGACATGTATAGAAATGATGTGTGTGTCAGCTGGGACAGGGAAGCTATTTTTTTGGCAAATCGTGTAGCTATCCTCTTGATGCTGCCTTTTACATCTTCTTCCATCCGCCGCCCAAACGCAAGGACCTCAAGGATTCGGGGCTGCTCCCGGGTCCATATACTATACACATTGTATAACTTACTACCCTGCACTCATCACTAATTTACACGGAAAGCCATTATTCGACTCCAAATATATGTGTCATATAGTACAAGTATATTAAACATGAAGCTCAAGGCATCTTTTTTTTTCGTCTAAATCCTGATCTCCAGCGGCCATTTTTTTCAGTGTCATGCCTCTAAATGTGCCGCCCATAAAAACGCCGTGCCATGCCGCAGTCGAGTGAAGATGTACATGTATACAAAGGGAAACGATTGAAAGAAAAAAGATTCTCGTCCCCACAGGAAGCCTAGCCGGCGCCTCGTTGCGTCATGGCCATTTCCTTGAATTCGTGATTATTCGGGGCCATCAGACCCCAACCCCTTCCTTGTCGGAAGATGATTTCCAAGTCGGCGGCCAGATGACGGGGCCGGGCTGATCATAAAAACACACGTGCGCCATTGTCCAAGAATGGTTCGGGGTATCGCTTATTTGTCCTTGTAGACCTTTGGCTTCCATCCCTCCTTCACTTGGGCCTCCTGCTCGGCTTGTTCCCGTATCGGCCCCAGCTCCCGCTCGAACCGCTCCTTCGCCCGGACAATCTTGCTCTGCAGGTAGAAGCTGCCCCCCTTTTGGGGATCGTTGGCGTCGAACAGCCGCTTGTATCGCTCCAGGACTTCCTCGACGTTTGCCTGCCCGCCGGCCGGGGGCTTGACGTTTAGGATTTTGCACGCCTCGTCCAGCGTCATGCCCGACGCCAGGGAGGCTCGGCCTGACGCGGCGCCGCCGCCAGCCTTGGCCTGCGCGCGCTGGTACTGCGACGCAGCCTGGGCCTGCTTGTAGGCCGCCATGAAGGATCGGCCGAGGATTCGGGAGCCCGTCAGGAAGGCGGTCACGACAAACCGGTGCGCCTGCGTTCCATCCCTGTTAGTTGTCTTGTTTTCGAGAGCCGGGCTCGCCATGGCTGGCCCGTTGTTGGGGAGGCGCATTTGAAGCAGGGCTTCATGAGCTCTTGGGGCGGGATAGGAGAGCAAGGTTCATCCGTACCATTGTCAAAAAAAAGTCAGTTTGCTCAAACCGTAGTCACCGGCGATCGAGGCTCTCGCGACAGGATGGCCCTGTGTGAAAAAAAGTAACGGGCCGCCTTGGGGGGGAAATGGCCCTTGTCTCGCTCGAAGCTGAGTGTAGGAATTGGAGGTTCGGAGCGGCTTTCTCGATTTTTCCACGGGCGCGATGCTAGCGAATGATTCCGCGGTCGGAAGAACTTGGGCGTGGGTGTGATTTAGCCGGTATTTTGCCGTGCGATTTGGGAACCTCTGCGAGGCGAGACAATGTTTTGCCATGTGACCCTCCCCGGGCCAATTACACTGAGAAGAGGGGAATAATTGATATTGATAGAGTAATTAGAGATTGTGCAAACTACGTGAAATTTTTGTTGGTCCATCCGCAAAGAAGGCTGAGTGGTCTCTGGCTGTTGCTTATGAGGGCTCATCAGTAACCAAGCCTGTGGGGATTTCAGGCTGCTCAGCTCAGCCCAGACTTGCTCGCAAAGCCAGTCTGAAGGCCAGAGAGACGGGCGCCATGACACCGCAAGAAGTTGCCGCTCTTCTCCAAGAGTACGGTGGTGGTGATAAGCAAAGCAGCCTTGAAGGTTCATCGGATCCGTCTGATATCCGTCTGAAAAGGGCAGAACTTCTCTCCAACGTTCTGGCTGCCTGCAGAGATGCCTGGTCAACTAAGTCTGAGCAGCTGGATTTGATAGCAGAGAAACTTGGGGATGGAAGTCGAGATGGTGAGTTGCAGAATGACCGTCCGTCTCTTGTTGACAGGATTGGGAAAGGGGGTTGGTCTTGTTCTATGAATACGAGCTTACCAACATATAGTGGCATGGCGTCTCCCATACGGAGATTCCGGAATCCTGGACTTCTTTCTCGGCTTGTTAGATGAGGGTGGCCTGAGACAAAAGCTTCGCATACACTCTCTTCGTTTGATAGGGAATTCTTGCGCTGATACCGATGAGAACCGGGCTCGAGTGGTGCAAGACAATCGGCTATTGGCAATCACTAGACATGTGAAGGATGAAAGCATAATACCGTTCAACATTCCGGTCATTTACAACATTCTGGTTGATTATGGTGAGAAAAAAGACTTGTCGCGGTAATTATACGCACGAGGACTTGTACTAAGTTGATTTAGATCCTGCTCAAGTCCTGGCCTCAAAATCCCGCCTCAGCCAACAACTCGTGCACCTTCTATCTCTGCCACAAATCTCCAAATACGCCCCATTTGTTCCATATATTTGCAAGATCTTGGCTCTCCTCGTATCGCAAGAAGGAGAGTGCGCTGTTGCAGATCCATCCACAGTAGAGGTTCTTCTCAAACTGGCTAATCAGCCAAAGGCAAAAGAGGATGTTGACGAGTTCATTGCTATTGTAGGAGTGGCCGTGGCCTACCTAGCTAATAAAGATTTTCAGTCCAGGGTGGTATCGGAAATGCAAATGGGGTTGTTTATGGATGCCTTCTACCATGCTCATGCTGGTTTGAATGTTGCCGACGTTGACGATGAAGACACTGTCACCCAACTGAAGCAATTACGGACTTCCTTGCTCTCAACTCTGGCCGATGTTTCCGGCAACGACACCTTCGCCACGGCCTACCCGTTATCAGATGCTGTGCCGCAATCCTTCCTGGCCTGGATTCGAGGGAACAATCCCTTCTTGCAATCTGCTGGCTGCTTAGCCTTGGGTAATCTATCTCGTTCTGACAAAACCTCGATTGCCTTGGTAGACACATACGGAACACATGAGCCTCTTGTCAGGCTCTTATCCAACTCAGCCGTCACCGAGACTCAACTCCTCCATGCAGCCTGCTCATTCCTCAAAAATCTAGCAATCCCGACAGCGAACAAACCTCAACTAAAAGACCTCCTACTTCCACACTGTGTTCCAAGAATATACTCTCTTGACACATTACCGCAGATCCAATTCGCAGCAGTATCTCTTACGCGTCTGCTCCTACTCAACTGCCCTTCCAACGTTCGCCAGATCTGCGCCAGCACGGACACCGCCCCGACGGATGCTTCTGTCCGCCAGCTATCCAGCGCAAGTGGTATAATATCCTTATTCAGACGCTCAGACGCGGAACCAACCAAGCTTGAGGCAGCCAGATGTGTGGCAGGAATTTGCCGAGTACTTCACTCTTCACCCGTGTCCGAAGTTCTGGAAAACCTAGGATCCGACGACGACGACAACACTGATGAGAGCAAATTATCAAACTTCTACAAGGAACATCATGTCGAAAACCCGTTAAGGTTTCTCATAACTCAAGGTAAATGGCCGTCTCTCCGCTCCGAAGCTTGGTTCGTCTTTGCCCTCATGTCCCGGTCTGAGAGTGGTGCGAGGGTGGTGCTATCCGTGTTGGGTGACAAGGCAGCAGAGAGTGCCTTGATTGAAACAATCACGGGCCCAGAGCCAGAAAACAAAGAAGGTGCTGCCGCTCATGACGAGTCCAGAGATTCAGAACCGCACCCAGAGTTGTCATCTGCCGCAGGTGAGCTGCAGCTGGAACCTCAACAAGTCGACCCGAAGCAAAAGGAAAACATGGCAAAGGTGGACAGAGAAAATGCACTCGTACTATGTACCCAGTTGTTGAAGGTTGCAAAAAGCGAGCTAGCGCCAGAGAAACTTGCTTCATTGCAAGGTCTCGTCCGGGATGGAACCCATCTTGTTGTTACCGATAGAACCAAAGCACATTCTGCCTAGATAGAAGCGCCGGCTGGGAACATCACTGTGATGCCGCCTTTGTAGCGGCTCCCAAACTAAAAAGTTCACGAGAATAGGCATTTTCCCATTGGCGATCTTGTATACAAGGCAAAAACAAAAAAGAAAAAGCTGGTGATCATGCAATAATATTTTTGACCTGGACCTATAGTATCTCTCCGCCATGAAATCGGGGCAAGAACTCCCTCAGAGTCTCGAACCGACGTAGCCACTTCCAAAGAGACGCAAAGAGCAAAAAACCCTCAAACACCAGTACCCTTTTTTGCCAGTTTATTTCTTAGCAGTCTCGGCCTCCGCCTTATCTCTAGCACGCTTCTCGCGAGCACCCTGGTATCGCTTGTTGCTTCGGGCCATGCGCAGAGCAGCGTAAGCACCACCATCGATGGGCTTGGGCATCTCGCTCTTCTTAATCTCCTTGACAGCAATGTCGGTGGGGGCGATGGGCAGGACAGATGAGATGCTAGTGGCCGTGTTGACCTTGGAGATGTCGGTCTTCGTGTCACCCTTCTTGGGGGCGTTGGACTTGCGCGGCAGCAAGATCAAGCGCTCCTTGTAGGCCTTGAGACGGGCCACGTTGATGGCCAGGCTCTCCTCAGAGAGGTTCTGGCGACGGTGGTCGACGGAGATACCGATGGTGCGGGCCAAAGGTCGGGCGATGCCAGCCTCCTGTGAGCGAAAAAAAAAATGTGTTAGAAGACCAGTTTACAAAATCGAAAAACTCCAGCCGAGTCCGTCTCCCAGAACGTCTGGTTTGCGTTTCGGTCCTCCATCCATTCGGGGGAACATGTCGCGAGATCAAAATCGGGACTGGGGAGCGCGTGTCGTCGGGCAGGAGAACCGTACCTTGAGCTCAGTCAGGGTGAAACCCCGGCCGGCGCGGACCTTGCGGTTGTACTTGATAGTAGGGCATCGGACAATGGGACGCAGCTTGTCGACGGGGCGAGGAGCCAGAGCAGCAGCCTTGGCCTGACGAGCAACACGGCGCGAGGCCTTCTTTCCGGGCTGTTTATGAAAAGTCAACATCACCATTACATTTTCACAGCCACCATTCGTCGTTTAGTCCGTCTCGACATCGCATACCTGGTCGAAGTGGGTGCGAACCCGTCGCTGCCAGTCCTTGCGGAAGTCTGTTGGAGAATATGTCAGTCGAATGTCGTCGTCGCCATTGTCGTCTCTCGGTGTAATGGGGTGGGCTGCTCACGGTTGTTGACAATCTTCTGGTTGTGCTTGATCGCCTGGAAAAAAAAATCTCGTCAGTAATGATGATTTAAATCATGCAAATGCCTGCATTCGACGGGGTAATCGTACCATTGTGCCTGCTTGCGATCAAACTCGCTCCGGTTGTCGATGTTCGGTAGGCGTTGAATTTTCGGAGATGGAGGCTCGACAAATTGTCTAAAGGGTTTTCGTGCCCTACAAAAGCTACGTACCAGGTGGGGTGTGCCCTCTCGAAGCTCAGGAAGCGAGAATTGGGCCAAATGTGTGGGTCACGTGAAATCGGAAAATCTCTCGGCACCGTGGGATGACTAAGGCTCCACCAGAAATGGCTGCCCCAGGCACCAACAAACAGCTATAAAACTTGGCCGACTCTTCCAGCTTTTCAACTTTTCTTCCTTTCTTCTTCATACTTACCTTGTTCCGAGTTCCCCAGCTCAAGATTCGGGGGATTCAGTATGGAAGGCCTGCATTGCACAACGCGGAGTCGTTCCTTGCTCCATTGTCCTTCGGGGCCATGGGGGGCGTAATTTTTGATTTTCACCTCGTTTTCATTGTGAGCGTTGCCTTGAGCGATGTCATGAAGAAGACCCAAAGTATGATGCCTTCTCACTATTGGAGATGCATTTTCAGTAAACATCTTGGTACTAGGAGTGTTGGCAGTTAACAATAGCAATGTGCGTTTATTTAGTTCTAGTATGTCATGAGCAGGTGGAGGTGCTTCGAGCTCTATGTGGATTGTGGCAGAGCATGGAAGCGCGTTGTCGTTTCACGATGGCTCCAACGCGACGTGAATTTGTACGGAGGGAAGTCGGTCACATCAAAGTTTTGTCGAGTGGTATGACTTTTGTACTCCAAGTCTCGAGTCATTATTGTCATTCAATAGAAAACTAGTCTCCTACCTCTGAGTCGTTCAATGTTGACAGGTCCCTTCGCCTTTTCCATGCTACTTAGGTGTGTCCGAGTTAGGAGAAAAAGCAGGCGCAGGGACGTCTCGTCAAACACTCTCCAATCCAACCGGCTTCATTCTCCAGTATCGCCAGACTGTAGAATTCAACTACAGCCTTTCAAAAATATCTATCTCTATGTGCAACCGCATCATCAATTCCAGCGATGCTGTAGATTCATTGCATTGAATCAGGCCCACGTAAAATCATGTCCCCCTCCCAGCTCGAGCTGCCATGCCCGAAATTTTCCCGCCTGTACCCAATCACAAACGCTAAAATCACCACCCAGCTAGTCGTCCCAAAAAATCTCACGAGAAGGCGATTCCTCAGGCCATTCTCCCCCAATCGTCTCCCCAATCAAATCACTCGGCATTTGACTTCTTTCCTGCGTCAAGTGTACCGCAACACAAACCCCCTCCCTCCCAAGCCCACCATGGCGTCTAGAATAGGACCTCGAAGCGTCAAGGACGCAACACGCTTCACATCAACCATCCCTCACGCCACGTCCAAAACAGCCGGTGCGGCCGGGGGACGAGCTGCTGCCGCGACGCCAAAGCCGTCACCTCGGGTTCCCGGCGAGACTCCCGAGCAGCGGGTTCGACGATTGAGGCAGGCACACATCGCGGCACAAAAGGCACAGATCAGCAGGACAGATCGGGTCATCGATGCGTCGAGGCGGTTCTTGGATGTTGCGCATCGATGGACCGTCGGCGGCATCGTCGTCTTTACGGGTATGATAACCCCCCAGCTCCCTTGCGGTGCCATTTCATCGCACCCCGCCAACCCATGCGATTGACTGTAGCAACTAACACTGGAGTTTCTCTTTCTTCACAGCTGTCGCTGGTGTAGTCAGCGTCTACTCCGTCTGGGACATGCTCCAATACAACCGCGCCCGCCGCGCGGAATGGGTCGAAGCCCAAAAGAAGCTCGAGGCCGACTCCCTCGCCGCCGCCCGCATAGCGTACCTCAAGGGGACCGCGACCGAAGAGCAGATCCTCCTCGTGGAAGAGGCCAACCGCGAAGCAAAGGAAACTGGCGTCAAGCTGCCGCCCCTATTAGCGCCGGCGGAGCACCGAACACATTTCGAGGAGCACGTGAAGCCGAAATTTTCTGGAGATGCCGCCGATGAGGAGAAGGCGGGAAAGGGCGTCTTGGGCGTCTTCTCGGGTTTCTTTGGTGGATCAACGGCAGCTGGGGAGACGCCGTCCAACGCAACTGCGCCGTTGGCTGCCGAGGGTGGTGTAGTGCAGTCAATCGAGACCAAGGCCAAGGACGCCTGGGAAGCAGAGAAACAGAATCAACTGAAAGGCGGTAGTCTAGACCAACTGGGTCTGGATACTGGCAGTTCAGGACAGAAAACAGGAAAGCGCGGCTGGTGGCCTTGGTAGACTTGCCAGCAGAGCAACGTGCTTAAATGGGACCGGGAGGAATTCCGTATTGTCGTTCCAATCGTTCCATGGTCTAGCAAGGCATGGCGAGAAGGTGGAAACAAAAACATGTATCATATCTCTGTAGATTGGTTGTGCATTAGATTGGCGTCAGGAGTCGTTCTTGTATGTAATAACAGAGGGATTGATCCCAACTACCTGCATATCAACATTGATTTAAAAACAAAAGTATTCACATCATTCGATTTTTTGTCACTTTGGTATCAACTTATGGACATGAAATATCCTCAGCGGGAAATCCAATCTTGATAGTAGTACACATCTGTGCTGTGAGAATGCGCCACGCAGGAGTTGCACCCAGTAGACGTTATAAAATCTTTGTAATGTGCCCGATAGTGATGGCTGGTAGCCACTGCGCCAAAAAATTACCTAGGTATGTATCAAATTACAAAGGAAAAAGTCGCTTAGCTGTGTGGTAGTAAAAGTACTGAGCCTCGTCGAAATCGCTAGTTGAAGAAGAATAAAAAAAAGTCAATGCCATTGTGCCGATAATCATTTCCGCCCATGTTGCCGAATTTTATAGCAAGGTTAATCCTCATCTTGCTCAAGCCGTTGTGTATAATCCTGATCCAAATACCTTGTTCAACGCCATCCAACTCAAAACGAGTTTGTCCCATGGGGCAGTCCTTCATAATAATACCGGCAGCTAAATCCAACAACGGTTCGATGCTGCCAGTCGCGAATCCCGCCCCTATTATCCAGTTGATAGTAACTTTCTCATTGTATTAAGCCCCACCAGCCGACGTTCCCTCCCCTATGAGATTACAATATGGTTAAAATGACCTGGGACTTTGAGCCTGCATTTCTCACAGTCCGACCTGTATCCTATGCTGAAACTCTTCTTCATACCAGGCTGCCACGTCCAGCTGTTAACTGTATGCTTACTGCGCTGATGTCCCTTGCGATTTGGAGACGGGGATGACGGATCAGTATCAGATTCGCCATGTTGCAGCAGGTGATGACAATCAGCATCCATCATAGCATTGGGATGTTCCATGGCGTGCAATGGTGATGGCTGTCCAGACATTGAACCGTGGACTGGACTTGGCTGACTCAATTGACCAAATTGCTCCTCACTATCCATCATCGTGCAGGTCGGAATGCCACTGCCGTCATGCATAATGGGGTCGCCCATTTCCGAGATGGGTGAAGGTAGCCGCCTGTGGTTTTGCAGGGTATGCCAGTCTGGCCCGCCGGTCATCGCTCGTGGGACTGTTTGGTCCTGTGCGATGCCCATGACGTGATGGCCAAGGTTCGCAACTCCGTTCGGGGTTGTCTGCGTTTGTACAGTAGCCGCCCATCCGCTGTACTGTCCCTTGACCTGTGCCGCAAAATTTGGTTGGATGGGCGTGGGCATTCGACCCGTTGAACGGTTGAGTAGTAGGGCGGGGGGTTGTGCGGCTTCATCATGATCTGGAGGTGATGAGATAGTCACGTCCATCATGTCCATCTCGGCATCTTGTTGCAGCGGGCCCTCTTGATGGGAAGCAGACTGGAACGGTTCGACGTGGGGGCGAGGACCAGCGGAGGCAGGACTCGCATTTAAGGGTACAACGCTTGGAGATGGACTATGCTGGCCTGCTCGAGGGGGGTTTCGAAGTGGCAGCGACTGGATGCGTTTCTGAGAAGGTGGTTAGCGGCGAGTCCATATTGGCACGGCAAGGAAGACAAGCAAGGCGGAGGTAGTCGTGCATTTCTGTGTTCCCCAAAGCCAGCAGCAGCATTGGCTATTTCTTCATCGTCTCTGAAGCGCTTTCGTCCGGCGTCAACAGCCTCCAGATACTGTTGTGTAGCAAACATGTTCGCTGTCCTTTGGTATTAGATGAATCGCATGCACGTCTGGGCTGTTGCGGATATGATGGTGGCGGGTGTCGGCAGAGGTGATGCCTGCGAAAGGCTGTTGATGGCAGAATGATTCCAGCCGGTAGTTGATAAGACGGATAGCAGGCACCCAGATAGAAACTGGCACTGGCGATGGCAGGTGACGAGAGGCCGACAAGCCGGCGGTTCTTTCCGCGGAGGGATGGATGGCAGACACTCGAGCAGGATGCGGGGGATCGAGAAAATACGGTGTTGCAACAGCCAATTCTTGCCCTTTCTCGTAAAGATCCAGGTAGAAATTGATTGGCGGTGCAAGGCAAGCTGAGACGAATCGGCCTGGTCACAGACAGCGAGTCGGGAGAGAGCCGCGGTTGGCGTGGGGGCAGGGAGAGAGGCTTGGTGCTCAAAGTGTAGCAAACCGACTCCAGATGTCCAGACTTGGGCCAGCAACTTTTGGTTCAGGACCAGGGCGTTGTCTTAATGCGGCTGACACCTCGACGAGAAGTGGGCTATGACGACAAAGTCAACCCTGTGGCGGTCGGTGGAGGGAACGAGTGCCGACGGCAATGGAAGGACGCATAGGTGGAGGGAGAGTGCTGCATAAACAGAATGTTCCATGGATTAAAAAGATTGGTATGACAAGATGAATTATGCACAGGCCTTGAGCGGCCGTGTTAAGTTTGCACCGGGAACATGAAGCCACCCAATGTGTCCGGTCAATCTCTAGACGATAATGCGAGCGTTGAAAGGAATCCAACCAGATGCCTTAAAACGCCATAAAACAGGGCGTTGCGGCGGTGGGCCAGGGCCCCTAATTGGGCTTGACGATGGCTGCAAATAAAATACATGGCATGGCAGGTGTGAACGATGGTCAACTTGACTTAACGGTGCTGGTTCAGGTGCAACTGGGCCAGCACTAGAGAATTCCTGAGACTGTCTGGTACATACAGAGTAGAAGCCCTTCCATGACCAAAGTTCGAGATGTCACTTGCTCAAGTACTAGATACGCTCTCGGAATAAAGCCTTCTCAAGTCATTCATCCTGTGCTGGGTCAGACATCCTGGACGCTCGAATGCGAATGGTGTGCATATGTAGGTTATCGTACGGACGAGATGGAGCATCTTGAACGACGATCTGGGCCAACTTGATCCAAGGGGATCCTCCCAGTGCCACCAAACTTGCGAGTCGGCCCACTCTTTTTTGTCTTGCAAAGCAACTCGTATACGCGAGTGCCGTACGGAGTAGGTGCGACTTTACAATTCCATGGGCCACATCCTGCCACCTGCGACTGCGCGTGCGCACACAATAGCTAGCCGAATGCTGGCTGAAGGCTGGGCGTTTCGAAGCTGTGAACTAGACAAGCCAGTCGAGTCTCGTTGTTTTGGAGTGACTGACTGGCATTGCTCTGCCACCAGATGTCAAGAGTCCAGGTCTCCGTCCGTTTCAGAATTGCTTCAATGTTCGCATGACGCGTCAACAGACATGCCGTGGCGTGACTGCGAAGAAGATGCAGAAGCACTTCGAGCTCGTACGTTAATCATTGATGCGTGGATGATGCCAGCTGAGCGGTATCAGAGACCTGCACTCCTAGACGCAACTGTGGGTATCTGGACCACCACCAGACTTTTTGGAAATAAGAGGATCAAAAATAATGGTTCTTCATTGACATGCGACTCGAGGAAGGAGCATTCCCATTTTAAATTCGTGAAATATTATCCGCAGACCGTAGTGTATGTATAAATAGGAAGGCCGCCGAGAACTGCAGCGTGCGCATTCTTGACATTGTTCTCAATAATGCCAAGTGCGTACCTACTACGTGAAATGCTCGGCAGGCTCACTCTTTTTGCTAAGGGCGCTCACGCCGCGCCAGGTACCTGACTATTTGGCTTTATATTATGTATAATATATATCTTTTATAATAGGTAAGTATATTATACTATAATTATTAAAGTATATATATATAGTAGTATTTTACTATAATAATTCACATATAGGGAGAGTTTAAATACAGCAAATAGTAGGGGGTAAGCGCACCTAGTAGAAAGAGTAAGCCCGCCGAGCATTTCCCCCTACCAGTACCTAGGAGATATGTTCCGCTTCTGGACCAATGCCGATGCACTGATAGCATCTACTTGCGGCATTGGAGCTGAGCCTGCAGGTATTATGCATACATTAGGCACCTACCTAGGTAGTATGTTGAAATGTTACCTGGTATACAGACATGCAGGCATGTACCTGGGTAGTATTCCATGATACTTGAGGGTGCAGCGGGAGAATTGGGGACGAACCAGGAAACCTCAAAGGCGGTCTACCAGCGTCAGCCCAGCTCAAGATAAGGAGGCCTTCCTTGCACAATGGTGTTTGCGATCGACCAACTAACCGACGGGCGCTATTCACACGTTTGTGGATAAGGCGGCTGCAACCCAACAGGAGGTGGCCCATTAGTCACGGCTGTGGACGACGGCGCGGCCGTACGATGGCAGGTATGTACGCCCGACTTGCGACCCAAGGTACCAGTTGACCTTACTCCGTACTAGCGTGCATAAATTCTGAGCGCATGTTGCGTGCTCAAGAACTGCCAGGCGCGGCGAGTGGGCGCACTTGAGGTACACGATGTGGGCTTGGTCGGTCCTGGAGGGGCCAGTGGGAGCATGTGGGAGAAAGTGGGAGAGCGCTGGCCGCTCGCAGCAAAATGGGCGCCCACATTTGACAGCAATTGACAGCAATTGGCCTGCACAGCTTCATGGTGGGGTCGCTCCGAAACTGCTCCGATCCATGATTTTTTTCTGTTGTCCCATGGCTTGTACATCGTTGACATGCACATGCTTCATGGTTTCTGACTCATTTAAACATGTCCTCAAGCCCTTTAATATCGTTGCCCAGGGTCGAGTCCAGTTTGATCTGTTGACAAACTCTCCCATTCAATTGACTTCTGCTCATCTCACACACATCCGCCCGAAATCTCTCGTCCCGCCCAATCCACCCAATTAATCAAGTTACCAAGAAGTACTCCGTAGTAGGGTAGCTCATCAGCTTGTGACTCGATCTGGTCCGCGACATTTCCTCTTCGCCACAATCTCCAATTCCAGACCAGACCTTCAAGATGCCCGCGCTTGACTTGCAACAGCCGCTGGCGGCCGATGATACCAGAAGTAAGTGTTACACCAATTTCATTTCTTTGCCTGCGCGGTTGGTCCTACGCACCTGTAGGAACTGGCCCAGCTCTGGATCAAGCTGCAATAAGATTGTCTTTCTGCCAATCGCCAGGTATCACTTCATTTTGGCGTTTCCAGTCATACAAGCGCCAAGCAGTGTCGTTCAGCGTCAACAGTTACACGGTGGCATTTATGTTTGAGTGTCTCAATTGCTTCAAAATCCGCTGCCCCAACCGATGGAGCTAACATCCTTTGCAGTTCTCGGCCAGGATCCTCTGATCCCACCAGCTCTGCTCACCTCTGAACTCCCCATGACCGACAGTGCCGTCCGGACCGTCATCAAGGGCCGAAATGATGCCGCCGATATTGTCACGGGCCACAGTGACCGGCTCTTGGTCGTTGTCGGCCCGTGTTCCATCCACGACCCTGCTGCTGCCCACGAGTACGCCGCCAGGCTCAAGGCACTGTCCGAGAAGCTTGCCGACGACTTGTGCATAGTTATGCGTGCCTACCTCGAGAAGCCTAGAACCACCGTCGGCTGGAAAGGTCTGATTAATGACCCTGACATCGACTCATCCTTCCAGATTAATAAGGGTCTAAGAGTTTCCCGTCAACTCTTCGTCGACCTTACTTCTAATGGCATGCCCATTGCCAGCGAGATGCTTGACACCATCTCCCCTCAGTTCCTGGCTGATTGTATCTCTGTCGGTGCAATTGGTGCCCGAACCACCGAGTCCCAGCTACATCGTGAGCTGGCCTCCGGATTGTCTTTCCCTGTCGGGTTCAAAAACGGAACTGATGGAAACCTTGGGGTTGCTATTGATGCCATCGGCGCTGCCGCCGCCAAACACCACTTTATGGGAGTCACCAAGCAGGGCTTAGCTGCTATAACTCGTACCAAGGGTAATGAGCACGGTTTCGTCATCCTCCGCGGCGGAAGCAGAGGCCCCAACTTTGACAAGGAAAACGTTCAAGCCGCCAAGAAGTCTTTGTCAGACAAGAGCCAAAAACTTGCCATCATGATTGATTGCTCCCATGGTGTGTAGTTGCCGTTACCTATTTATAAATGTCCGAGGTGATGAGACTAACAAAAGGATCAGGCAACTCCCAGAAGAACCACAACAACCAACCCAAGGTGGCAAAGGTCGTTGCAGATCAACTCAGGGAGGGCGAGAAGGCCATTATTGGTGTCATGATTGAATCCAACATCAATGAAGGTAACCAGAAGGTTCCTCCCGAGGGCCCGTCTGGACTGAAGAAAGGTGTCAGCATTACTGATGCTTGCATCAACTGGGATGACACCATTACTGTGCTTGAGGACCTTGCCGCGGCCGTTCGGACCAGGCGTGAAATCAACGGCCGATCTGCCAACGGACATGCAAAGGTTAGCTTGGTCGAAGAAGCCTAAATCTTTTATGCCAAGTTATGAGAGAAGTGTGTGGGAGGTTGATGATATTATGAAAGGGAATGAATTTCGTGTGCAACAACGCGTGCTGGACCTAAGCAAGGGCAAAAAAAAATTGCGTAGACTTGTCGAGCGGTCTGTCGGCCTGCATCTAAAAATTAGTTGTATACACATGGTCAATGAAGGACACAAAAGTAGTGAAGTACACATTTTGTGCCTCAGATATGTCTCTAGATTTGTATTCGTGGATATTGTGTCAAAAATCAAGCCCTTTCGTGAACAACATCCAGACATGCTTCACGACACGCGGTAACCCAAGATGTCCACAAACGCCGTCGATAACTTTGAAAATGTACAGGTCGTGTCGTCGTCTAAAATACACATGAGCTACCGCCTCTCGCCGCTCACTGGCGCATAGCTGATGTCTTGTCGGGACATGGCCCTCTTGCCCCGTACTTCGACGACACGCTTGAAAGCAGCCCACCCAAGAAGGCCAACTGTTCCGAGGATGAAGCCCCAGACAATGATCTTGTCCTTGTTACTGTCTCGCTGGAAGCACATGGTGACGACATTCTCCTCCTTTGCCTCTTTGCAGAAATCGATTCCCTGGCTGAGGCAAAACGACTTGGTACATTCCGAACATGAGGTTGACAATGACCGTCGACTCAGACCTTGATCGTCGGTTGATTCGTCTGAAGTAGCGGCGCCGGAGGGATTCGACTCGGAAAAAAGGGAAAAACTGAGGAAAGAATTCGACGGAGAACCGGAGGACTCTCCCTTGGGCCCCAACGGGATGATTGTGCTGTTCTTAAAGCATGTGCACTTGCAAAAGGTTGGAGCGGCTGGTCACAGTCGGGGTTAGCGGTGAAATCGAGGTCTTGGTGCCAGACAGACGTACAACTTGCTGAAACAAGAGCCAAAAGACTCGCCAATATCAGCGCCAGAGCCTGAATTCGGGCCATTGTGTTCCTCGCGGCATGTGTGGCTTCGAGGAAGATGGAGTTGGAGCTACGACGGAGAGGTCACCGTCGCAGTTGTCGCAATACTCTGAAGTGTCTGGTGTCTGGTGTCTGGTGGGTCAAACCCAGGAAGCACTGGTACAAATGGGACCCAGCTCAGCCTCGCGGCATGTGGTTGGTCCCCTGCCTGCCACGCCAAAAAAGTAGCCGATGCACCAGACTCTTTCTTGCTGCGCAGGTTTTGAGCTTCTTGTCTTGACCTCGATTTACACTTGTCGAACTCCTGGCCGGGTCTGGGTGCGTCGACAGCCACAACTGCCAACCATGTCCAGAATAACGCGTATGCGGAGACTCGCGTCTTTGCAATTGGCAATGGCGACACCCTCGTCGGCGCCCAGAGCACCCTTCGTCGCATGCCGAGCCGTCTCGACGACGAGGGCCGCCAGAAGCAAGAATACAGAATGGGTTCGTAAGAAGCTGTGGAAGGGCGAGGCACCTGGACTAGAGGACCCCTATACGCAACGTCCAGAACCCGAGGACCCTTCGAACCTGCCGGAAGAGGCACTTGAGTTCCAACCGCGGACCGACAAGACTCCTGCGGCGGTTCTCGAGTCTCGGTTAACACTGCCGCCAAAGCGAACCGAGGCGGCGTCTGAGAAGGAGTTGGCATCCTCAGACCCGACATATGTCCCCGCTACCGAGGCAGAAGGACTCGAGGAGATTGGCGCCTTGAACACGTGGTGGTATCAGGAGGGTCACTGGGGAGAAGAGAGTGAATTCAGGGGATTCGGCAGTGCGGAAAAGGTGGTGGATAAGGATGTTGTCGAGGTTTACTTGCGACAGGCCGTCGTCGAGGCTCTTGCTCTGCGGGAGACTGGCGCCTTTTCACAGTGGGCGACGAAGAAGTGGCGGGAGGGACCTCGCAGCGAGCTGGACCAGGTGCTGGCGGCAGAGATTCAGGTGCAAGGGAGCCAGGCTTCGCTGAAGGGGGATGTGGCTGCCATTGCACAGAATCTCACCGCCGAGTCCGATGAGATGGAGGCAACGGAGAGGATTCGTCCCGAGGAGGCTCGCGAGATGCTCAAGACGTGGGACGCGTCATGGAAGGGCCTCGTCCTGGATGACCAGCTCAAATTCGCTGTATGTGCTATTCATATCCAACATCTACCGACCCAGCCATTTTCTGACTAGTTTATAGCTTCGCAAGCGTCTTTACCAGCTCACAGGCACCCTCATCGCCGATGCCAAACTTGGCGCTGCGCACACTGTCAGGCACGTCTTGACTCTTGCATCCAAGAAATCCCAGCCTAAGAAGCTAGCTGAACTTTTGGAGACACGAAGTGACGTTCAAGAACTCGCCAATGTCAAAGTTCACAGCCGCAAGATTGGACCCATCGACAAGGAGACCGCCTTGGGTCGATGGAAGGTGATTGAGGAAGAGTTGACGAAGCGCGGTTTGCCAGTCACTGGCACGGCAGGCATGTCAAAGAACAAGGAAAGGGACTGGATTTCAGGAAAGATTTGAGAAAGGCCACGGAAGCTGGCGTGTGTCTATAAGTGCTTCAAATGGCACTGTGTATATGTACTGTGACAAAAGATGAAGATTCAATCCAGCCTACTGATACCAAAGAGCTCCCTGGCCCTGCCCTTTTTGTTCCGTCTTTTGCTTGAAAAGGGTGAATATAGCATCTCGCAGAGTGAGCTGTCTGTTCCTATTGCATAGCTGTAAATCTAGCCCCTTTACTAGATTTCTCTAGTCATGAACCCCTTCTTGACGTCAAGCACCACACGTCCTAATTGGTGCAACAGCGTCGTAGGGGTGTTGGCGGGTGTATTTTCAACAACATCGACGTATCACGACTTCGTGATTGTTAAGTCCATGTTTTCCATCATTGTGAGCTCCGTCCCTGGCACGGCACGGCATCACTGGCGCCAGGGATACCACGAGATGGTAGTTACTCCGTACCCATGGTGGAACAAGCTCTGGGACAAGAAGCTTCTCGCTTGTTCGGATACATGGGTCAAGCGAGGCCTTTGGCATCTTGCCATGCGGGCAACCGGGGAACGGCATCTTAGCGCCAACGCAAACAACGCAGGTGGCGGACTAGATTATGCAGATTGATTGTGGTATGGAGCTGTGCCCTCTTGGCTGCTGACAGTGGATGGGGCAAGATGAGCGGTCAAGGACTCGAAGCCATGACCTCCCTGTCGTTCCGAAAGCCGCCGACCTGGGACAACAGATGGAATCGAGACGAACCATCTGCAGGGACCGCCCTGGGTCCCTTCCTTTCTGGTGGTTACGACCGGTCACTGCATGTGGTCTAGGCACTCCGTAAGTACTTTATGCGGGATATTGGATATTGCAGCTTACTGAGAGCGCAGGCTTACCTATCGGACCGTTGGGGAATAGTAGAGTGATGGAGACTCGAGATGTACAACGAAGGGCAGACAACGGCGGTTTTGTGTTGGGGGTGGTAAAATACCAAGACACACCGGCTCGACGGCATGTGCGAAAATCGCCCGGCGTTGAAGAGCGTTTGGCAAAAGACCAGGACAAAGGCGACGCCAAACGCGGGTGCACATGGCTGATGGAAAACTGTCCCACGGCAACCTTGCAGTGCGTCTGGCCGCGCAGCAAATCAGTCGATGCCATTGCAGCAGCTGTCGCCCACTGCGATCAAATGATTCCCACCGCAAGTGTCCACCCCGGCCGCATTCTAAAAGTTCCAGAGATCAAGGGATGGTTGGCGGATCCGCTGATTGTTGGAGCAGGTTGATGACGGCGATGGCCTCGACTTGGAGCTGCTTTGTTGGTCGATCCGAGTCCCCCACAGCTCACGACCCCAGGGACGGCAAGTCGAGTCGAGTCCAGCATGATGTCCTCGTCCTTTTTCCCCACTGCTCGAATCTGGAATCGGTGCTGAAAGGTGGCAGTTTTTCTCATCTGCCGCCACCGCACAAACCGCGCATCCTAGTCTATATAAGACGCTCGCCCATTCACCAGAGTCTCTGGGATTCCTCTTCCTTCTTCACCAAGTAGAGATTCATCTCGAAAAAAAGACACCTTTACAAACTTTTCTCCGCCTTTTTTTTTTCGAGGTCTTATACCTTTAACACACATCACAATGGCTGGAAACTGTGGCTGCTCTGGCTCTGCTAGCTCCTGCAACTGCGGCTCAAGCTGTATGTTGATTTTTCCACCTCCAACCTGCAAACGTATAAGAGGAACGTGGTTACTGACAATATAATGATAGGCTCCTGCACCTCATGCGGCCGATCACAGTGATTGGAATCACAGTTGTCGCCGCCTTGTATCATGTTGAGTCGACAACATCCTCCAGTCGTCCCGAGAGGCTTTGAGTAGCACTGCTCGTGGGGAGAAGGGGAGAATTAGATGCATGATTAAAAAAACATAACAAAAAAATAACGAAAACACGAAAATAACCACGAAAAAAGGAATACTTGATGATTCTTTCCTTCTGTTCAATGGAAATAAATTGATGCGCGCGATTGGAAAAAAGAGTGTGGATGGACGCTACGACTAATGTTTCTCATGGCTGGGCTGGGGTGATTTTGATGGCGATATGGTTTATGAAAATGGTTTCTTTCTGGATATTGGATGTTGACGCAGTCTTGTTATATACCGCGGGAATAATTTAACCGCTAGCCCATCTCTCGAATAAACTTTCCTTTGTATTTATTTGGTCGACTGTTGGTTCGTGTACTACCAGTAGACGTACCTACTACTCCGTGTTTGGTAGAGCAAGCACAAGTGTCAACTGGTCGAGGTACGGAGTACACCTTGACTTGAGATCCGTGGCCGGGAGACCCTGTGGCGGTTTGATGGCTCCGGGGGAACAACCAGGCCGGCAGACGCAAAGCATTCGACTGTACGGAGTAGTACATGTATTTTGCCGTTCCGGAGATGCAGGACAGACGGTTGGAAGCAGATCCAGAACCAAGGTCGACGCCGCATCTGGTTGCGCCGATGGCACCGATTGCGCCGAGTGCCCGCTCGCCCCGCGCCCTAATCCAGCCTGTTGGAGCAATTCCTCGCGAGCACAAGTGGCGCTGGCCAATCAAACGACCCATGGCCATGGCAGCCGCCTCACATGGGCTTCGCGCGCCTTTGGCCTCGGCTGCGCCCCAGATTCCGTCTGTCATCACATCGCTTCGGAATGGCCAAGGGCAAGTGGCTGGGCTGCGGAAAAGCTGGAGGCCAATGATCCATGGACCACAGCGTCACAAACTGAGCACTTGGGACCTCGTGGCAAGGCTGTATTGTTCGCGAACGGGCTCTGGTGTTCAAGTCCCCCCCCGGGTTGCATGCTTGGTGCCGTCCATGACCTTCTTTCCCAGCTCCCAGCTCAGGCCACGAGGACATGCGACAATAGTTAATTTGCCCCGTCCTCTGCATGTGTCTTCTTCTCGCCTTCACTCCTACTCATCGGGCTTCTCGCAAGGCCTTGCTGCGAACCCGTCGTCTTGACTCTTCAGGCTGATGACGCTTGGGGAAGTTGGTCCAACCGTGTTGCCGTCGCCACCACAGCTCTTAAATGGCTGCAATTGTGAGTGTCACTTTGTTTGGTCTCTTTCCCCTGTTCTCCTGTTAAAACATGTCCCGGCCCCCGATCTGCCCTCGGAGTCTTCTTTTTTTTTTTTTTTTTTCCCGCTCATCTCTGCATTGCTGTCGTGGTGGTCGGTCGTGTGTGGCCAACGCACCTGGTCATCGTGGGGCGTTTGGCATGTGATGTCACGACCTTGAACCTGTGCATCAAAAGTCGCCTCTCAACTTCGGCATTCGCTGCAGTCGCCAGGCGCCCTGACCTTTGACCTTCACGTCACCACCACGCACCACTCCGCTGCCGGGACCACAAGTCTGCTCCCAAACACATCAACCACATCAACTGCACCAGCCACTGTCTCTTCTACCATCACACACGACCCTTAGCAGACACGGCAAGACACCGTTGGGTGGATCGCGCACATGTCCCAGTCCTCGAGTGGGCACTTTGTCGGTTTTCCTATCGCTGGCAGCTGCTGACAACAACACTTTGCGAGTTCGCCAGGAATCTCCGTGGCTATCGCACCTAGACCTGCCCATGTCTTCACGCGACGACGCCTCTTCGGCCTCGACATATGAGTCGCAGAACGCGACCGGGCTGCCGCCGACGTACGCCTCCTTCTCCCCCGTCACCCTGTCCGCCAAGACGCCTTCGCGATCTGCTCGCCGTTCGAACATCCTAGTCCATCAAAAGAGTCCGCTGCTACTGGCCACTCCACCGCAAGTCACCCGTGCTCTTGCGTACAGTCACCCTTTTCTGCTGCCGCTGAACAAGTTTGTTGGCCTGTTGACATGGAGCACCGGTGATCCATGGCAGAGCTTTCTACTGCTGTCAGCCTTTTGGCTGGTAGTGCTATATGGAGATGTCGTGGTGCGAAGAGCCGGCCCCGTGGTTATCGGCATGGTCATCATCGCCGGCATGTATGGACGACGATACAGCCCATTAAGCAGCAGCGGCTGGGCTGAGCCGGCTCGACCGACCAAGGATGCGTCTAGTGTCAGCACCGCTTCGGCTGCCGCGTCCCACGGCGAAGGGGCCAGCTCTAAAAAGGCTAAGCACCAAAGGGCTGCGTCTGAAATCACAAGCACCAAACACCAGAAAACGCTTGACGAGATTGTCGAGACGCTAAAGGAGTTTACCGGTCGATGCAATGTTCTGATGGAACCATTGTTGGAAATGACAGACTTTCTCAGCACGCAGCGAACCCCCACGAGTGCAACCACGAAACCCGCCTTGACAGCCATGTTTGTGAGACTTCTTATTGTAACTCCCTTCTGGCTCGCCTTGACAATGCCGCCTTTCCACGTCATCACCACTCGTCGTGTTGTTTTGGTGTTTGGCACAATTCTATTGACTTGGCATGCGAGGCCCTTGAGAGTGACGAGAACTCTTCTGTGGAGGAGTTCGCTTGTCAGACGGTCCGCAGCAGCAATCACCGGGCTCCGTTTTGACGGGCCTCTCAAGACCGGACACAAGCTGGCTGCCGAAGCGGCCAAGAGCCACGCCGCCGCTGCCGGCAAAGGGAACCGCAAGGCTGGGCGCAGCAAAAGCTCTGGCGTCAAGTTCACATTCATCATTTACGAAAACCAGCGTCGTTGGGTTGGTTTGGGTTGGACAGCGAGTCTCTTTGCTTACGAACGGCCTGCGTGGACTGACGAGCACAACAACCCTGTGCCGTCTAGGGATGAGTTTGAGCTGCCCGACGTCGAGGACGGGAGCAGGATGCGTTGGCAATGGGTCGAGGGCAGTCAGTGGAGAGTGGATGGTGTGCCTGATGAGAAAGGACCTGTCGACTATGACGGCGAGGAGGGCAAGAACGGCTGGATATACTATGACAACAAGGTGAGCTGATCAGGAATGAGGCAACAGGTTCAGGGACTCCAAAGTCTTGGGACGCCTACTAACAGCGCGGTAGTGGCAATATGGTCGACGGGGTCAGGACGGCTGGGTAAAGTGGACTCGGCGACGGAAGTGGTACCGAGATGCCGAGCTCGTTGAAGTCGATGAATCAGACCAGCATGTACAACCTGTGCCGGGCCAGAACGGTACCTCCAAGTCACCAAAGAAGGACTACAAGAAGGGCTACTCTACTTCTGATGAGAAAATGGTACCAGTTCGTGCCGAGCCGCAACCCACGGCCACTGACCAACCTGGCACCGACGACGACGGTGCATCAATCCTCTCCACATCTTCCAAATCATCATTCTGGCCCTCGTCATTCAGGAGACGGGCGGTGGAGAAGTCGAGCACATTGGCAGAAAAGGGCCAACCGAGGAACATTGCCGAGCCAGTACCCGACGATGATGCCAGCGGGCTAGATTTAGAAACGGAGTTGGAATTACAAAAGCAAGGCAAGGACGGCGGCCGATGGGGTATTGGGGATGAAGCACACATGAATCTGGAATGAAGAGCTGTTGCATGGTTGGTGACGGAGGAGGAGGAGAGCGTAGGTCATGTTCAACCCAGGTTGTTTCCTTGATGCATGTAACGAATATTGACGGCTGTAAGAGACTGTGGGCAGGACGTGAAGTGGGATTCTTTTGCGGCGCACAGTGAATGTGCGAGCCGGCCATGTAGGACAATAGGCAGATGACTGACTGTACGAGGAATCTGAACATTATGCCAAGTCTCGTCCCCCATTTCTCCCTGTTTGCCTCTCTCCGCATATATATATAGATATATATATCCGGTTTGCTGTTTCCGCCCGTCTCTCCCTCACGGCTCGTCAGCTCACACGGCGTCATGCAGCAATGGACGACGCGCCCCCTGTGCCGAGTCCCCTTTCGATCCGACAAAGCTACGGTTTCCCCCTGGGCGAAGAAGAAGATGATGAAGGAGAAGAGGGAGAGGACCTCCTCACGCCCCTTTTGCAGTCTCGCCGCCCCTCGCGACAGTACGTGTCCATCTCCTCCCCGCCCGGCGACTCCTCCCTGCCGGTCTTTACAAACCCCTGGCCGTGCTCGGGCATACTGCAGCATCGCTCACCCGCGCCCAGGGTGCCGCTGATTCAGGTCCGCGACGAGTCGCCCGGCGGCAGGGCGGGAGAGGCGCGTCCGTCCGTGGTCTCCGAGGACGCGACTGTCGCCGGGCTGCCGCTGACGCGGGTCCCCCCGTGGACGACCCCCCGTGGACGAGCAACTCGGACAGAGAGCGGAGCAAGAGCGGAGAAAGCGCCGAGTGTCGCTGCGACGAGGGGAGCCTCAGGAGGGGGGTTGTGCATGCGACGGTGCTGGCGGCGCAGTTTGTCGTGTTTACGGGCGTGTTTTGCGTGTGGGTGGGCGTTGCGGTTGGCGAGGGCGCTGACCATTCGGGATTTTGGCACAAGTATGTCTATATATATATACTACTAGTGTTCCCGCTGATGCTTGTTTGTCTAAGTTTGCTAACGGGTTTTTTGTGTCCTAGGTTGTGGGTGTATTTCCAGCCGGTGCTGGGGGGGCTCGGTCTGCTTGCCGCGGCGGCGATGCTGGCCTACGACATGGCTGATGGGCTGTCTGACGGTGTGTTTTTGGGGGTTCAGGCCGGAGTGTTGGCGGTGGCTGGCGCGGCTGGGCTCTGCGTGGTCTGGTGGGCGCTTGAGACGGGGAGCCGGGCGGTTATTGGGGCCGCGGCGGGCACGGCGGCCATGATGCTCGGGGTGGGGGTGTTTGGGTTTGCGAGGGCGGCCGTGGTTTGGTGGCTGAGTTGAGCTTTTGGTTCGGTGTTCGAGTTGGGGAAGGTATCGTTGACGTACTCTGTACTACACCGGTGAATCAGCTTAAACGTCGGTCATGACCCGTGCGTTTGACATGAACACGGTCATGGATGACGTTCAAGTACAATTTACCTTGATTTGATTTTCGTCTTTGGAGTCTTGGGCCGTTGCATCTCCTGTCGGATCCCGGCTTGACGGCCCGCAATATTACACTATTGACCCCAGGTTGCTGCTTTGCTCTACTCTACGACCTACCCTGTGCACGCTGTGCAAGCTCATCAATTCGCAAGGACTGCGAAACCGACGTCTATTGGGCATGATGCCTTTTGCGAAATTATAACTTATATCGTAACTCTATATTATACTAGTTTATGTTAGCCTAGGTTTGTGTTGAGTACCTCAGGTAGGCATGTTATAAAATGGAAATATACTGCACACATTCAATATTTGATTACATGCACGCATGAGCCTTGCCTTATCAAAGAATTCCCAGCGCCAATTAAAATGCACCTTTACAGAAAACAAAATATCAGGGCCGCTCTTTGCCTGACAAAACACAACACAAATGCTAATATGCTCACAATCATAGCCTGACGGCAAGTTTCACTCGGCTATAAAACAAGGCGTGAATCACACATCAATGCGAGTGTATAGTATGCAATAGCGAGACTTACGACAACAAGCGCCTAAGGCAGAATGGCCGAGTGGTCTATGGCGACGGTCTCAAGCACAGTATATGTACTTTCGCCTGCGAAAAGCAGCGTTCCGTTCACGAAAGTGGCCGGGGTTCGAATCCCCGTTCTGTCAGCTTATGTTTTCTTTTTTGCCCCTCTAGCCCGGGGGGGTGGGAGGGGTTTTTTTTTTTTTTTTTTTTTAATCAGAACACTCACACTTCTACGTGCCTATATATAGTATTTTATCTATCCCAATATATGTCGAGACTTTACTAGTCGTGCCACAAGTTATCTCGGCAGGTCTGAGTACTTGGGCGATAGCAAAACTCGGGTGAATGAACACGTAACATGGCAGCAAAAGGCCCCTTTTATTCTCTGCCTTGCCGCCGATGTAACTGCCGCAACTTCCTAGGTAGGAACCCAATGCATCGTCAAGGTGCATTTACACCGGCTGTACCTGTGCCTGCCGGTGGTAGCACAAGATGTGAAATCATCTGCCACTAGAATTCATCAATGGGTCCATGTCTGAAAGGTCAAGTCTGCTCTCCCAGTCCAGGGCTGGAGATTCCACTACACGCGGTCCAATGCCTGCTTTGGGTACGGCATCGTCGGAGACCTCCGAAATGAAGCAGCACTTGAGAGCAGGGCCGTTCGACTTGGCCGGCGTTGGAAGAATTTAAAAAAAAAAAAGTTATGCAGGGGCCCACAGTGACGGAGTATTGAATGGAGGGGCAACTTTTGTGAGCTGGAGGGGAGATATTGAATGCATGTGCACATGGCTTTCGGCCAGTGCTGGCTTGTCGGGTACCTAGATATGTCAAGGAGAGCTTGCACGTGCGTGCATCGCAAGTACAGAGGTGGAATGCTGACTTCACGCGACGTCTCGAGGCCAACATTGAAATGTTAGCCGTCACGCTGCATGTGGTGTCTGGTCGAATCTGGCATGAGGTCAACTGGTCTGGTTGGTTGGTGGCGCTGGGCAGCACTGAGCCCCGCGGCCACCTGGAGCAGGCGGCCAAGCAGATCCTGAGTCCTGGTGTATAAAAACTATGACTTCTTGAGACGCGCGACATCACCATACCCCCCTTCCTCTCTTTCCTTCCTCCCCCTTCTCTCCCTTCTCGGGCACTTTGCCTCATCCATTCCCACTAGGCTCGTACGCCTCAACTCATTTGACTCTGTGATCCGGCTTCCGTTGCTCAACTTCCCCCCCTGCTCTCTCCAAGATAACCCATTTTCGTGATACCCCCCACCACACTTTTTTTTTTTGCCCTTTCTCTCTCACACAGTTTCTTGAACCAAAGCCGACCATGAGTGACGTCGAGAAGATCTACGTTACCTACAACGATGTAAGTGTGACTGGAAATGGGCGAAAAAGGCGCTTCATTCGTGCATCGCAAGTGTTGCATCCACCGTAGGAAAAGCGTAGCGACCGAGTACAACATGCAATGCTGGCCTGCGACAAGCTCACTGATCATCATGTTGCGCCCAGGTCCACAAGCTGTGCCAGAAGTCGGCCGACCGTCTTCTGGGCGAGTTCCAGCCCCAGCTCATGATTGCCATCGGCGGCGGCGGCTACATTCCCGCCCGGATCCTGCGATCTTTCCTCAAGAAGCCCGGGTCTCCCAACATCCCCATCCAGGCCATTGGCCTGTCCCTGTACGAGTCCCTCGGCGAGGATACCGAGGTCGAGCAGATCGGCAAGAAGGTCACCCGTACCCAGTGGCTCGACCTCACTGCCCTGGGCCAGATGGAGAACCTGGTCGGCAAGCGCATCCTCATTGTCGACGAGGTCGACGACACCCGAACGACCCTGGAATACGCCGTCAAGGAGCTCGAGAAGGATGTCGAGGCGGCTCGTCAGCGCATGGGTGGTGACCAGCCCAAGACGGAGTTTTGCATCTTTGTTCTCCACGTATGTGCCCTCGAATCTCTACTCTGCCATCAGTTGTTGGTAGTTGTGTGCTGACAAGCTTGGCTGTGTAGAACAAGGACAAGCCCAAGAAGGGCGTTTTGCCCCACGACATGATTGCCACGCGATACGAGGCTGCCGTCACCGTTGGCGATGCCTGGATCAACTATCCTTGGGAGGCGATCGATATTGATGAGCACGACAGGAATGCCGAGACCAAGAGCGGGATTTAAATCAACTCGCGAATTCTCTTTTTTAACTTGTTGACCAAAATAGATTAGAAGGCGGGTGTCTCAATGAATATAGAAAATGAAAAAAAAAAGGACAAATAATAATACACATTGGTATATGTATATACGCTCTACAAGGTATGATGCTATGTGCTAGGAAATACTGGAATACGTCTATCATGTCGTGTATAACGCCGTTCATGTGCCCTCGCCCCCTCCCAATATATACGCACCCGATCCCATCCAAGAACCGCTTCACCCACCAACGGTACCCTCCCGCGCATGCCTCTCCTTCAGCCTCTTCTCCTGCTTCATAAACTCCCTAATGCCAACAGGTACGCCCCGGTAGACCTCGTCATCCCACATATCCTTGGCGATCTTACCGCTGCCAACCGCCGGCGCACTCCAACTCGTCTCGGACCCTCCGCCGTCAGCAGCACCCACCGTCCTGCTGCCGGCTTGAAGAAGCCGTCTCTCGGCCTCCCTCTTGCTCGCCGTCCACTCCTCCATGTCCTCCCGGTACCGCTCCCAGACGCAGTTGACGCACCCGCTCATGCAGCAGTTGTCCGGCTCTTCTGGCTGCGGGGGCACCAGCACACCCGCCACGTACGTCGACTTGGCCTGCTTCAAGGCCAGCCTGCCCGCCTGCTCCGCCGGGCCGAGGAGCCGCGATCCAAATATGATGCGGGCCTTTTCCTGCGCCGTCTGCGGAGGGGGAGTCGTCGGTTCGGGCCCGCGCGCCGGAGGAGTCGTCGTCGTCGCCGTCGTCGCCGGTCGCCTGTGCGGCGGCAGGACGCTGGGGTCCGCTGTGCTGGGCGGCTCCTCGGGCTTGTGGGCGAACGGGTAGGGGATCGGATCGCGCAGTATGCTGGCGTAGTAGGCGCCCAGCGGTGTTCGTTGCGGCCACTGCTCGTCTTTGGCGCTGGCGGTTGACGTCGCGAGGCTCCTCCTGGCCGGGGCGGCTATGCGCGGGACCAGGCGCAGCCGCGAGGTGGCTGTTCTCGCCGAGGCCGGCATTCTGGCTCACGAGAAAGATGGTTATTCTAAAGATGTGGAAATTTGTGAGCGTGTCATGCTGGGAAGGAATTATGCGCCGGGCCGGAGGAGGTTGGTTGACGCTTTTGTTTCTTTAATGTTCTTTTTTTCGTGTCTCGAGGGGCAAACTTGCGGGTTCGGCGGCAAGGCGTCGGAAAACGTCATTCGGCTGTGCAGGGCGTTGCATTGGCCGCCGAACCGGCATTGTAGCACGTGATGGTGCCTGGAGATGGGACCGATGCGGTCTGGTGGTCATGCAGTGGAACCAATTGCCTGCCCGCATGGGGCCCATGGATACAACCTTTTGGCATTACACAGCTGCTGTGTTTCCTCGACGCTGCAGATAAAGACCGAAAGTACGATTTTTTTTGTCGCAGATGGACTCGAGGGCTCTAATGCACCAGACTATGGAAAGCCGTTTGTTGTGGAAATTGGCGTGGGTAGCGCCGAGTGGGCCATGGCCAAAATTCCGAAGCATCATTAATTGTGTTGTTGCGTTTAAACTGACAAGACAGAATACAGTGTCGAAATATAGTCCAGCATCACAAGAGACGAGATGTAGCTTGAAACAATGAACTAGATAGCATCAAAGGTAGGAAGTACCTAGGTACTTAAGAAGGTATCTATAGAAGATGCTCGGGTGTTTCCCTGCCGACTCCTGAAGACGATGTAGATTATTGTTTAGTAATGCCATCCCAGTTATTTGGCCAAGTCTGTCTCCAATCCATGTAACAAAACCAACATCAGTATTCTCGCTATACCGCCGCTCTTTCGCCTCGATTGGTCGAGCAAACTCCGTCAAGAATCGGGGGCGAAGAGAGAGTCGGCAGGTCGAGACAGTTTGCGATTCCGTAAGCCGCAGGGTAGAAAACAGATTCTGCTGCTGCCTCACCATCACTTGTACTCACAGCGCCGAGAAGGACGCAGGCTTGAATAGTTGATACTAAGATGTCTCAAAGATTTAGCAATGCCTCACTCTCTCTGGCGTATGGCTCGGCTCTGTGTGTAGACGGCGTCTTAGCAAAACGGGGTTTGCCGAGAATCTGAACTGAGGTTACTAATGCGTTGAATTATAAGGTCCTTGGCGTTGAAACAGAGAAATACCTTCCCGACAGGACCATCATGGCATATACAATCGCTTTTGGCGTCTTTCCATGTCGAGGTCTTGCATAAAGCTCGGCCTGTAGAATAACGAGTGGAACTGGTCATGGGTGTACGTCAAGCACAATTCTGCAAGCTCGACGCATACGTTTTCATCCCAAATACTAGGACTAACGATGGGCTCTCTCTTCAAGACATGTTCCACGGTCCTTGACTGCTCTGTCGGGATGGCTAGTGACCGAGTTGACGCTGCGAAAGCTCCGGGCCTTGAGCAAACGAGATTCTGGGCCTCACATAATAGACATCGAGAATGTCCCATTTCGCCGGCGAGACCTATCAAGCCTGTTTTTGCACAATTCTCCCCCATCTTTGGGGCAATGTACGTACTGACACACTGAGCAAGCTGTTGGAGTTCTCGTTGCTGGTCTCACCTTCGCCTAGTTTTAGTGTTGATTCATGATAGGCGACGTGATGTATGGCCGCACGCACCATCTTGAGGACCAAAACCGGGTCGTTCAAGGTCAAATATGGAATTATGACTGGAAGTGAGAGGCATCATATGCATGTAAATAGCTGGCGACGAGGCAACATTGAAACCATCAAGCCAAACCGCCATGCGGAGGTGGAGCCTCTAGATGTCAAACGGTGTGATTCAAGCAGGTAAGGGCAGAGCAGTTTGTTTAAAATTGAGTGCGCCATGTTGTAGAGCAGCACTCCATCTTTTGTGAGTAACCGTAGCGCCCCAATGGAAAAGGGCCCATGATGATGGATGCGTGTCAAGGTCGCGTGTGAACTGTCAAGTGGACCGACACCAATTTGATCTCGACATGGAACGATGAAATCTGGCCCCACAATTGCTTGCACTGGCTAGTAGAAGTAGAGCCTCTGGCCGGGATTCGACGCCAACCACTGAATCCACTATCCTGAGCTGGCCGTTCGAGCTGGTTTGTTTGGGGGTAACGCGATCTGTCAGTTGCTACGGTTTTGTCTCCAACCATCACGAGAGGGCGCTTGCTTGTAAACCAGCCGTTTCTGACCTGTGCATATTTCTGAGAGTGCGAGGTCCTTTGACCATGCTCACGCCCCATAATATCCGGTGAGCTCTTCCACGAACATGGAAGAGTCTGCGCCAAAACGAAGACGCGTTTCTCCAGACCCTGGGGCACCAACAGCGGCATCAAGACCTGCAGCTCAAGCACCAACCAACCTACCAACTACAACAACGTCACGGTCTCCCAACCGACGACCTAGACCATCCTTTGCATCACCCACTCGAGCAAGCCTTTCGCGCTACAACCCGCAAATATTGGAACGACGTCGTTCAGCTTTCCGATCGCCGCCAAAAGTCACAACCACAGCCCCAGCACCCAGCAATCTGACGCCCGGTGCTGCTCGACCACCGCCAGAAGCAGCCAGCAACATCGGAGCGAGCGAATCCAATCAACCGGAAGATACAGTCGAACAGACTGGAGGTGCACCACGACCAGCGACGAGCTCTCAGGCTGGGCCGGCAGGGCCACCACTTCGAACACCCATAAGACCAAGCCCAAGACCGTTTCCACCCCCCGCACCAGAAGGCGACGATGAATTAAATCCTTTTCTCGGACGGATGCAGAGACGAGAGCCCATCACTGGGGTGCCCATACCCCCTCCCCCGGAACCAGAGCTCCCTCCAGCCGTCTCAGATCCTGTATCTTCAACGCCTCCGCGAGGCATCCATAGCAGCCCTAGATGGAGAGACCGAGACAGGCAGAAAAAGAAATCGCCAATGAAAAGTTCACCGTTGAAACCGCGCGGCGTGAGCACCCCGGCCAGGAGGGTTGGCGTCTCGATGAGTCCGGCTGGCTCTGCTGTGCAGAGAGAGCTGCCGTTGCAGGACCGAAGCTTAAATGCCAACACAAACGCCGCTCGCCAAGTCCCTGCGTCTGATAAGAATATGCACAAGCTGAAGGAGAGAAACCGCTTGCGGAGGGAGATTGCAGTTTTGAGGAGAGAAATCGAACTTGCGGCCCGGGAAAACGAGCGCATCCGGGTTATGCAGCGAGCAGGTCGAATTGTGGCTCCTGAAAATGAAGAGGACGTTTTAAATCTGGTGCAAAAGACGTTGGTCGCCACGAGAACTGCTCCTACTCCAGGACTTGCTCACCAAATGACACAAGCAGCGCTAAACCCCATGGGAATCTTGCCATTTGGCCCTTCAAGATTGGTGTCAAATCAACCAAGTCCCGAGACGGATGAAGCAAACATCAAATCTCATCACCCTGTTCCCATGTCGGCTGCAGACGATTTACCATTTTTACAACTATTCACTCCCTTCTCTGCCACGTCCCAGGTTTCCGTTCTACCCTCTGCCCAAAATCAACCTCTACGGCAGCGGAGGCAAATCACGCTACGGTCTCGAGATGTCCCGGGCTTGTTTACAGCTAGAGTCGACATGGTGGTCAATGCGATGAATCTCAATATTCTGGCACTCAAGGTCCCCGCGTTAGAGCCATGCGCAAGACCAGAGCTCGGGCCCTTTGTTGAGAAGATATGCTCCGGAGATTGCAACAGAACAATGCAGCATAATGTTGGCGTCCTATCTTGGGCAATGGGGGAGTGGTATCGCGTGGCAGTACAGCGAGCTCGCTTTTGGTTCCAGTTAGAGCAGAGTCTGGCCGCCAAGGGCGATTACTTGGATGCGATATCACGAATGCGATCGGAGCCTGGACTGGGCGAGGACAATTCCCAGGACGACGACTTGGACACATGCAGCAAATCAGACCTCTTTCGCTTTCTCGGCCAGCAATCGTACGATGTGCCAGTCCCAACGATTACAGGAGAAGGTCCAGAATCGGCTGTGCGGTTGGAATGGAAGATTGAGCTCGACTGGACTGGGGAGGCACAAAGCAAAATGGGACTGTTCCTTGGGATCCCTGGCAAATGTAAGTGTTCAGACTGTTATTCGGACAGACGGCCATGCGCTAATATTTTGATTTGCTTCCAGGGCGGCAAGCTGATGAAAGAGGAGTGTTTGGTCAATTTGCCAAACTATTCGAGGTTTTGATCGAAGGCGGCCAACCCCCGAGAAAAGCAGTGCAAACCATTGTGGCGCTTCTGACCGGTGCCTAAACACCAATCTGTAATTTCATGAGACATGATGACCATGACACGTTTGAAAGATTCTAAGCGAAACATATCGGGTGGCATGATGGACAAGTAGCTTTATTACCAATGATACCATACCAATGCAAAATATTATAATCCTCCATTGTTGTCTCATCTCTTGTCTTTGTGAACCACACACGTGTGCTATACTTTACACGTAACGTCTCCCATTACGAGATGCTGTTATTTTGATTGACTGCGTACCATTTAGTCGACGTCGACGCCCATCTTCCTGAGATCACCCTTGGCCATGTCAATTTCCTTCATGAGTTCCTGGTGCGCCTCGGGAACATCGTTGAACGTCATGATGCCCCAGCCGAGACGGAAAAGAAGCAGCGCGCCGAAGGAGATGAGGGCCCAGAATGGAAGCTTCAAGTTGCAGACGTCAGCGGGGTTTGAAAACCATGTGGCTCGGCGCTATTAGGGGGGTAAAAGCGACGTACGACAGGGACAATCTGCTGCTGGACCAGAGCGGGAAGAGGAATCAGCTCCAGGTAAAGGGCGAGATATAGCTGTAAATGGAAAAAGTTAGCAGCGGGCTCCTGTCTGCGCACATGTAGAAATCGTAAATTGCGGATCAAGGTCGTACGGAGGAGACGAGGAGCCCTAGGGAAATGGTCTGCTGGGCGCGCGTCATGACTGCGGATATATGTATCTTCGAGGCCTTTTGAGCACTGCTGTTCTTCTAGGGGGAGGGATTGGCGATGCTGCTAAGGAGCGACAGTCGTGGTGACGGAGCAGGGAGCTTGTTTGCGATGGTGCAGTATTCCGGGGTGGTCGCCGAAGACGACGTGTAAGGAGGCCCGCGGTGGCGCGCGTTGATGACAGCTCCCGCATTGTGTATGATGATTAAGCAGGACCCACTTCCGTGGCAGCCCTTGAACTTCAGGTACGTACCAAGGTAGTACAGGACTGAGCTTCACGCTGCTTTTTGCTGCTTTCGCTTTGCCGACGACCAAAAGCCTCTACGAATTTGTCCGAGCTCTGTTTTCTGTGGCCATTTGAAATTCATCATCAGAAAGCCAAGAAGGGTACTCCGTATGTGAGTCGAATGAGATGTCAGACAACCAAGGGCCAGCCTCCACGTTCTGCTTGGGGGAGGGTCTCAAAGACTGGAGGGAGTGCCATTGAGACAAACGCTTGTACTACCATCTGGCTGTAGGTTATTCCCTTTTCCAATATGGAGTATTTCGAAGCATAATGCACTGTTGTGCCTCCCGGATGGAGAAAAGGGGGCGTTTTGTCGACGCTGCCAGCAATTGAACCAGGTTGCACAGACACGAAGAAGAATGCAACAGAGCAGCTGGAGCAGAAATTGGGCAAGGCCGGCGTCGACCGCACGGGACTGCTGGTCCAAGGACAACAGTCGCTTTTGCGATGACACAGCATTAGTCTACTGCAGATGCTCCCAAGAGAGACGGGCTGGATATGGTCCAGCCAATTGGTTCTCCGTTATTTCGCATATCACCACTTGGACCCTGGATCTGTACGGCCGCTACTGCAAGCCCCGTGAAATGTGCCGACAGGCCTTGACAATGGCTGGAATGCGATTTGTGTCATGTTTTCTTTTCCGCCACGGGCGATTTGCTGCTAACCAGGGAGGTCGACTCGGTTGGAGCATGTCTTGAATCCCCTTTTGAAGCCACTGAGCACAGCGTTCTAACTGACCAATACTACATCGGAGGCCAGTGACAAGGGGGGATGAAGAAACAATTACGTGGTTCCCGGCCGGAGTGTCAAAGCATGTGGCTGGCTGTAATCATCTCGATTGAGCTCATTGTGCTGATTCGGCAGTGGCTGCAGACGAGCTGTCGGGTTGCCCTGCCTCCCATGATGACCAGACGGGCTTCTCCCCTCTTTCTGCATGTAGTTTTGGTCCATCTTTCGCACATAAGAAGCGAGCAGCGTCTTCATAGCCATGGTCTAGAGTGAATTCTGCTCAAAGCGACGTTTGTATTTCTCACAACAGCTTTGTGTAACCATCAACAATGCCGCAGCCTATTCCTCGACCTCCCGGCGTGCCTCTGCTGGGTAATATTTTCAACATTACTCCCAGCAATACTTGGGCATCGTTGAACAAGCTCTCTGAAGAGTATGGAGAGATCTTCCAGATCACAGTTCTGGGCCATACAATTGTGTTTGTGGGTAGCGTGGCGCTCACCGAAGAATTGTGTGATCAAAAGCGATTCAGGAAGTATGTTGGAGGGCCAATAGTCGAAATCCGGGCGGCTGTACATGATGCTCTGTTCACTGCGTTTGAGAATGAGTCAAGCTGGGGGATTGCTCATCGGATCATTGCACCACACTTATCCCCGGAGGCTCTTGGGCAGCAAAATTTTACAGAGATGCGCGACTTGGCCAATGAGCTCTTTGCGAAATGGAAGAATCTCGAAGCGAACACGGTCATCTCACCACTCTCTGAGCTCCAAAGACTCGACCTCGAAACTGTCACCTTGACCTTGTTCGGCCAAAAACTGAACTGCCTAGAAGGGCCAGAGCACCCAATGTTGAAAGGAATGGAGGATTCAACCTCTGAGGCGATGATGCGGCCGACGAGACTCTCATTGGTGAACTGGCTCGTCTACAGGAACAAATTCAACAAGAGCATTCAGACTATGCGGAGGTACGCAGCCGACGTCGTTGAGCATCGAAAGGACAACCCGACTACGCGCCAAGATGTCCTCACCGCAATGATGAACAACGAAGACCCTGAGACCAAGAAGAAGTTGACAGACTCACAAATAATTGACGAGATTGTCTCCATGCCCATTGGAAGCAGCACGGCGCCATGCCTCCTCACTTCCGCCATCTTGCTACTCTTGAGGAACCCCGACGTGATTAGCCGCGCAAGACGGGAAATCGACGCCGTTGTGGGAGCAGGCGACATCTCCATCGAGCAACTGGATGAGCTAAAGTACGTGCAAGCCATTGTCCGTGAGTCTTTGCGACTGTCGTCCCCTGCGCCCGGCTTCAACATTGAGCCCCTCCCCAGCGACTCCAAGGCACCCGTCCAACTAGCCGGCGGAAAGTACCAAGTTGCCCACAATCAGCCAATGATTATCGTCTTGGCCGGGGTCAACCGCGATCCGACTGTCTTTGAGGATCCGCTGGCCTTCAAGCCAGAGCGCATGATGGGCGAGCAATTCGAGCGGTTGCCCGAGGGTGCGAAGAAGTGGTTTGGTAACGGGAAGAGGGAGTGTATCGGCAAGCATCACGCCTGGCAATGGAGCGTGCTGGTTTTAGCCATGATGCTGCAAAAGGTTGATTTTGAAATGGCAGACCCCGAGTATAAGTTGGAGAAGGATGGGTGGTTCAACGTTAGGCCGATTGGGTTTAAGACCAAGGTGAAACCGAGGGAGTGAGGGTTGGTGTTGTGAGGATGGAACAAGTTTGGATACGAGCCGGTTCGAAGGCCTTTGATGCGGTTGTAATTTGAGTTGAAATAGGTGCGGTAGTCAGTTTGCTGACATGGAAGTGTATTGGTTTCGCAGTGGTGCAGGAACGTGGGAACTGAAGGAGCGGACTCTTAATACCATGCGTCTTTCTTGGGTTAAATATAAAACCATTGTCAGAGATCCATTTTGAAAATTGCCGGATGAAATTGCTACTGAGGGAGAAGTTTTACAATTTCGCAACTCGGCATCTTCACCCCAATACTCGGGATAAAAGTCGGTTGACATCGGCGCCCCTCGTGCAAAGGCACGAATACGTGTCTCGAACCACGTACATGTTGAATCGTCATCATATTCTGTATTTGTATGCTATGTGTCTTGACATGGGGGTATAAATGCCATGCATCCTGGAAAATATGCGTCTGTCTTCATCCCATCCTGTATGTATATCATGTACTATGCTATTCATTCTCTGTATCTTGCGCAGCAAACCGAGTGCGCATTCCCATGCGATTTCCAAGTATTAAAAGGTTCACGTTTGAAAAAAGAAAAGGAGGAAGAGGGTATATAAAACGCCACAAGATGCACCCGTGCTGAAAAGAAACCGATGCAATGCTGACAAAAGAAATAAAACAAAGATGCCCAAAACAAAGAGTACGCCCTCCCCCTTGAGAGAATCAGATGGTGCTGCTTTTCCGCAGAGAAAAAAAGTTCCACCCCTTGCGGCGTTCTCTGACCCGGGGGCACGCCTTCTCGTCCTGCTCCTCCTCGAGCTCCAACCTGTAACGGCGCACGCTGCCCGAGTCGTCGTCAAAGGCTACGTGTCTGGGCGTGAAGCAGTCCGGGACGAGGTGCCTCCTGATCCAGCCCTTGACACCGCGGCTGGCGGCGTCGATGGCGGCGTACTCGAGCCGGCGGGTGCTGTCGCTCGTCCAGTAGTGTGTCGTGGGCGGCGGCAGGTGAGGCGGCGGCGGCTCGACTCGGGATGCGGTCTCGGTGAGCTCGACTAGGTCCGGGGCAGGGAACTGGAAGTAGCCCGGTGGCGGCTGTGCGCTTCCGCTGCTGCGCCGAGAGTACGGAGACGGCACGCCGGACTGGGGATACGACTTGGCCGATCTGCGCGTGGACGGCCGCGTGCGAGCCCGGGCCGTGGTGACGGCGCCGCCGGTGGAAGACACAGTGGACGTGCGCCGCGACGGAGGGACCGGCCGCGGGTGGGAGAGGGAGTTTCGGGCCGAACCAGACTGGTGTGACTCGTATCCCGAGTCCTGCCGCTGCATCTTGACGGCCGTGGGAGGCGGTGCGGGCTGGATGGGCTGGTTCACGCCGTCCGCCGCCCGGCCCGAGTCGATGGCGCCTCTTGAGCGGGGAGGAGACGGCGGCTCTTGCAGCTCGATGTCGTGGAAGCTGTGGTAGGTCGTGTCCGACGACGCAGCAAGGCTAAACCTGGGATTCATATCGGGCGAGGGGGGTTGAAGATGGTGCAGCGGACAGTCCACGAGAGCTGCTTTGGGGGGCAGCAGCAGTCAACCAATCCAGTTGGCCTAGGGCTTGAAGAAGAGGAGGAAGAAGGAGAAAAGGAAAAGGGAATAAAACTGGCACGAGCTTGGGAATTACGGCCAACGTGTTTGGGGAAACGACGACTAGTCATTCCAAGCCTGGTCCCCCGAGAAAACGAGATGTTTACCCAAAACCCCGAATCCTTGCGTTTCGTCCAATGAAATCCAGACGGCCCTGCAGCTTGGTCCAGATGGGTTTCGGGAGACGACACCAGGGTGCGGTGATGCTTTCAAAGTTGCGGTCTGCAAGGGCCTCGACAGGGTATAAGAAAGAAGTGACCGAAATAAACGGAGCCGGTCGCGTGTCGTCGGCCACAGCAAGGCCATGCAACGCGATAACAGGGGATGAAATGGCACCGGCAGCAGGAGCAGCAGCCAGATGCTCTTAAATTATAAAACGACCAGGAACCAAAGCGGGCGGCCTGCACCGATTCGAACCGTATGTGTGAACCGGGGGTGGTTGCAGGGGAATACAAGCCCAAGCAACAGACGGCGGTGAACAGGACAAGTACTGGATGAATAATTAATACTACTCCGTACTCGGTGCTCTGCAGTGAATCAGGCTTGAATAAGCGTATCCGCTTAGTCTCCGTATTGTTCAGCTAGTTTCTCGTCTTGGTGAGTCCTGGTGGCAGTCTTTGTGGGTTAGGTAGGTAACCGGTAGGTCTGGCCCCGGCCGAAAGACGAGCGAAACGAATGACCAATGGGTGAATTGCGTGTTGATGATGAAGGCGGCGCCAGGGACTGGTACTAGTACCCGTGATGCGTGATGCGTGAAGAGCCGGGGTGGTGGGTGAAAATGTGGGCGGGAGAGGGCGCAGCAGGAGGCTCCAGGGATTTGACGATGAGGGGTTTATGGGCTCGTTTGTAAAGCTGGGATGAATCTTGAGCAGAGAAAAAGACGAGGTTGTGCTTGACTGTTTGTTGCTGGGCGGATGCGCACAAGGGCTCTCTCTCTCGTGAACAGAGTACAGAGTAGACGGCGACTCAAGGCCGTCGAGTCAAGACGCTTGAGTGGGGTTGAAACCCACTATGCAAGTTTCGAGAATACTTGTCGATGCGTGTTGAGAAGCAGATGGAGTTAATTTCGTTCAATGTTCCGTGCATGTGCCCTTGTCGTGGGGAAAGAATATTGGCTGCGGAGTATGAAGGTGAACGACGTCCTGCCGGCTGTCGACGGGCCAAGCGAGATGATGATGAAGGGGAAAACAAAAACGCAAAATTGCCTCTTCATGCGGCCCCAGAGGTTTGTATGTAATGATAATAAATACCGAGGAGATGCTTCCGTTGTCCCAGCCGCGTATTGGCTGGCCGAGGGCGCCAACGTGTTGGTTTGCCAAACACCCAAGTGGCAATGGCTGAAGCTTGAGGTCATGCGTCGGGGTCCAAACATGCAAACATCCACGGGCGGCGGCGCGTGCAGCGGGTAACAACGGGCGCAGCCGATGTCGCTGCACCGACCGGGGTGGCTTTTGAGTTTGGACGAGGAACCTGATTTGAACAGCGTCCAGACGTCTGGGCGTGGGAGGCTTGCCGATCGCGAGGACAAAGGCGGGAGACAATAGCGACAATCACTGGCCTCCACCAAACGGGCTGTGAAGACGGTCTGGTGCAAGGGCAAGACAGGTGGCTTTATACTCTGCACCCACCGGCAGAGTACTAGACAATCTGCCGGCATCAGCCGCGGCGTTCACAGCACTTCTACGGAGGCAAGAGCGTCCCGTGATGGGCGTGTGCCAGCTCCATGTCCGTTTCGTCCTTGACCACGGTCATGTGATGGAGCCCACGATCGACGCTTCCTCATGCCTTGGGATGTGTGCCGTGTGTGTGTGACCGTCACATGTCGGTGACGAGATGTGGCGGCGATGCCCAATCACTTGCATGCAGGGACACGGAAACCAGCTTGATCAGACGGATTCCGGTATGACTACCCAGTGCTAGTTATTCCTCCGTACACCGCCGAGAAATAAACGCCGGTTGGTCCTCGCTCCATGTCTCTCATGTTTGAGGGGCAGCCCTGTCAAGCGCCTGCATGAAGGGTAGGGTTATCCCTCGACGCCGACGTCCTGGAATCAACATTGAACGCACACGTGGGAGGAAACGGGCCCCGACGAACAAGACCTTGACGCGGTCAAGGAAGAACGAGTATGCCGTCCTGTTTTCGAAACCGATACTCCATCTCGTCGGCCTTTTCAATGTCGCTCATGGGGCTTGGCCGGGTTGGATAGGTAGGACCTTGGTGAGAGATGGAAATTCACAGTTGACCGCGAGTTTTGGCCCGCGCATCATCTTGTTGTAAAGCAAAAGACACACATGCAGTCACCTGGTCACCGGAGTGCCTTGTGCAAAATACGGAGGTATCCTGGCTTTGCAGGGTTCGATTCGAGACGAGCCCAGACGGAGCAGGTCTTCTGCTGTTGGGGACGGCTTCGAGATGACCTCGTTATACTGGGCGCGGAAAGCCGGCTCATGGGAAATCGGATAGCTGGCGTGGTAGTGGCGGAAGAAGCCATCAAGCATGGCCTCTGTAAGACAGCTATAAGATGCGACGCCCACATAAGCCCCGTGTACAGACAATGGATAGTTCCATTTGTGCATCCAAGCATCTTCGTCATGTGAGGCTCCAGGAGTTGCCCGAGGGCCAAACTTGTTCCGTTAGAATGAGAAATCTCTCTGTTTGAGACCTACCAGAGGACTATGCCAAGTGTTCATGTTCTCATCCAACTGATCCGTCATTTCATGCCGCTGCTTCTGCCGTCTTGAATTGGAATCTCCACATTTGAGGCGTGTTTGCCCAGGCCGTCCAAGTCTTACGGGATGCCTCAAAATGTAGTTATATCAAAACCGCCGATATTACCATAAAGCAGCGTGAGTTGATCATACACAGGCGCCAAGAAACGGATAAAATATGTGCAAGCAACAGCACCGTGCGACCAACAAAGCGAAATAAATACCGAATCATCTCCATGTACAAAAATAGACAGAGTCTAGGATACTCGGAGATGCGCTTCCATGCCACTGCAGTCCTACCCCTCAGCGCTGTCAATCAAGACATCATGCCGCCCAAAACTATGTGCCATCACATACTCCCCATTGACCAAGTCATTGCTCTCCGCCCTCGCAACAGCATCCTCCATCGACTCTTCAATCCCAGCGTCAAGATGGCGTGCGGCAAGTCGCCGTTTCGCAACCTCGACATCGACCCTGACCAGCCACCGATCATCCACCACATCGCCAATAGTACTCCACGGCGCCTCGTCGCTCAGCAGGTAGTTGCCCTCAAATATACAAATCTCCGTCTCTGGCGCAATCGTCACCCCGTTCTGAACAGGGTCCCCGAGGGCGTGGTCAAACGTCGGAGCAGACACGGCACTGCGCCCGGCTTCGGTCCGCAGTCGGCAGGCCAGTTCGGCCGCCGCCTCGCCGTCAAACGTCCACGGAGCGCCACGCCGAGCCAGAGCGTGCTGCGCATTGGGCAGCGCCCGCAGCGCCCTTCGCGAGAGGTGGAAGCCGTCTGCGGACACGGCGACTATCGACGGCGCGTTGTCGGATCGCGCCACGTGCTCGACGACTTTGCTCGCCATGGTGGATTTGCCGGACCCCGGGGGGCCGGCGATGGCAACCACGAGACGGGCCTGGCCGAGAGCCTTCTTTTCGGCCCATTTGACCCGAAGACGTTCCGACAGAGCTCTGTACGTGTCTTCCATTGTTTGGCTCTGGATTGGCGAGGCGTTGAATGAAGTAGAAGCAGAAGCAGGTCAGGGCTGTTTCTGTGTGGCAGGGAAACACTCGTTTTTGCTCAAGTAATTGCCGGAGGACTGATCTCCGGGCATGTGGGGCCGATGGTGCGGCCCGGAAGAGAGCGGGCGGTTACCCTCTTGCCCGAATAGGAATCTGCTTCCCCGCAGCTTGGGCGTCGCTCAGGTCTACTTGAATCAACCCGATGTCGAGGTCATTCCATCCACAAAGAAAACCATGCTTCATTGATAGTTTGCGGCGTAGAATAGACTCTAGCATGGCAGACACCGTGGGTTATTGTCGCCGTTTCATCGCTGTGCTTCACTGACGCCCCCTAGAACCCGGCTTTCGTTCTCCAATCCATCAGAAACGTCTCGTTCGAACACCGGCCCGTACCAAGTCTACGAGATGAATACGACGTTCGTGTTCGCATAGAGCGGACTGGTATCTGTGGCAGTGATGTGCACTACTGGCGGAAAGGACGCATTGGCGACTTTGTCTTGGAGAGCCCCATCGTCCTGCGGCACGAGAGTTGCGGCGTCGTGGTCGAAGTTGGGTCGAAAGTGAAGAACGTGAAAGTTGGCGACCGCGTAGCCATAGAGCCTGGAGTGCCGTGCCGTCGATGTGACTACTGCCGATCGGGCTTCTACAACCTTTGCGGGGATACAGTGTTCGCGGCCACGCCGCCTCACGATGGGACGCTGCAAAAGTATTACATTGTCGCTTGTGATTACGCGTACCCCATCCCAAAACACATGACTGCAGAAGATGGAGCCCTGGTCGAGCCCGTCGCCGTTGCAGTTCAAGTGAATAAAGTGGCAGATTTGCGCGCAGGACAGACGGTCCTCGTCTTCGGGTGCGGCCCGATAGGACTTCTTTGTCAATCTGTGGCCAAAGCCTCTGGGGCGAGCAGGGTGATTGGAGTTGACATTTCCCAATCAAGAGTCAACTTTGCGAAAGAGTTTGGCGCCGATGGCGTGTTTCTAAGCCAGTCGAAACCGGTGGAGGGTCAAGATCCCGTGCAGGCGTCGAGAGCCGTCGCCGAAACCATCATCGCTGAATTCGGGCTTGGAGATGGTGCAGATGTGGTCCTTGAATGTACTGGTGCCGAGTTCTGTATCCAGGCTGGAATATTCGCTGCCAAGAAGGGCGGCACGTTTGTGCAGACCGGAATGGGCCCAGAGAATGTGACTTTTCCAATTACAACTGCGTGTATCAGGGCTTTGACGATCAAGGGATCCATCAGATATACCACCGGCTGTTATCCGCGAGCTGTAGAACTAATTGCCAGCGGTAAGATCCAGCCTAGGAAATTAATAACGCACAGGTTCAAGTTTGAGCAGGCAGAGGAAGCATTCGAGTTGGTGAAGAAGGCACAGCAAGATACATTAAAAGTAATTATCGAGGGAGCGTGTAGTTGAGTTTGCTGCGATATTTGACAGAATCGACAATATTGACGTGCATATCTGGACACGGAGAGATGCTTGGTTCAAACTGGCTCCAGGAGCTCGATTATGTGACCGAACGGAATTGAAGGGAACTTGTGCATATTTTGCGAGTGATGCCAGCAGCTACATGGTGGGCAAGTGTTCCCACAAAAGATGTTTTCCAAGATAATGTGTTACAAGACTCAAGGAATTTAGTCACCGACGGTGGTTACACATTGCCATGAGAGCAGACCACCGGTTCCAGAATTTATTTATGCATGATTTTTCCCATATATACCTTGTTGAGATTGTCTTAAATGTATCAAAAATTTATCGTCAATCATGAGCTACTCCTCTTGGCTTGAATTGCAGCCCGTTCTTAAGGTGGTTCCAAGTTGCGCCTTACGCAACTGGTTTCTCCAACTCGTCAACGCTTGGTCGGCGATCAGTCTGGGCAACAAAGACCTTTCGGAAACGTCCGTGGCATAGATCCGTCATGTTCTCCTTCACCCCGGCCCAGTTCTCTCTCACAATATCCATGGTTGGTCGCTGGAACACGAGATCAATCTCCTCCAGTGTCTTGTTCTTTGTCTCAGGCATGAAGAACACTTGGTAGACTTCGCCGAGAACAGCGATACCGCCGTAGAACCCAAGAGTGAGGCCAGTGCGCGTCATTGCCTCCTCCATGGCAGTGAAGTTGTAGGTGACAATGAAGGAGGCCAAAAAGAGAAGGGCATCGGAAGTGGTCATGCCGTAGCTTCGGAGGTACGTTGGGTAGACTTCGGACGGCACGACTAGAAACGGCAAGTATTAGTGGACTGACTTGGAAAACAAGAGTGCAAAAACCTATTCATTGCACGCCTCACGCCTTTTGACTTACCCCATGTCAAGCAAGCGTATGAACCAAAGAATGCCATGTAAATAATCAGACCGGTGAGATAACAGCCCTCCGCAGCCATGGTGTGCGTCTCAATGTTGATCTGGTATCCAATACCAATCAGCACCAAGCCAATAAAGAAACCCGGCAACATCATGATGGCCCAGAACCGTCTACCGCAAGTTTCCATGAGGAAAACAGCCGGGATTGTGCCGATCAGTAAGGAACCACCGCCAACCAAGGACATGTAATTGGCCTTTTCGGCTTCGTATCCTATCTGGCTCATCAATACAGACATGTAGTACATGATGGCATTAACACCAGTGAGCTGCCCCAGGAGAATCATGATGTTCGCGTAGATGAGGGCTCGGCGAGCACGAGGTACACTGTGACTTTTATCAGACTATGCCCCAGTGCCGTGAAAACCTTGGGATACGTACGTGAAAAAGTCCATCCACGGGAAGCGTCGATTTTTGGCCACCTCTGTAACAGCGCTGGCTTCTTGACGTACCGCGACAGCCATTACGTAAAATTCTTCCTTGGACTCGGTCGTCTCGACACCTCGAATACGTTTCCAAACCTTGAAGGCATCAAGAGCCTTGCCTTTATGCATGAGGTAACGAGGGCTTTCGGGCAGGAAGAGCATTCTATGAGGACCCAGCTGTCAGTCACATAAGTTCTGAAACAAAAAAGGAATGTAGTATGAACATACCCGAAAAACATAATGGTAGAAAATACCAAGGAGGAGCCGAGAATATATCGCCAGTTACCAGGGACCTTGAGAAATATGGCGGCAACGGCATAGCCAAGAACTTCTCCAAGGGCAATCATGAGCTGGTACAGCGAAACCAGGTTACCACGGATGCGGCGTTCGACTGTTTCTGCAACGTAAACGGGAACCGTACCACCTTCTAAACCGACTCCGAGACCCAGAATAACACGGCCCGCGACAATCATGCCTTTGATGAAAACCCACGTCGTCAGTACGTGGGTCATGGTTGGACTGTACAAGGTGACATACCAAAGTCAATAGCACCAGCTTCTAGAGCTGCTCCAATAGTGTACAAGACCAGGGACAGATATATCGCGCCTTTTCTGCCAAGATACTCGTTGGCAGGCGACAGGATCAGCGCACCGCCCACTGCACCAAGTGGCATGCCGGAGTTGACTAGACTGTTCTCTCGTGGCGTGAGACCCAAGTCCTTTGGAAGGTACAGATTTGCGCCTGAAATGAGACTCTGATCCAGCCCGGAAAGAAGGCCACCCATACTGGCAAACGCTACCAGCAGCCATGTGAAGTGCTTTGGATCCTTAAACTCGAGGTTAAAGAAGCCTCGCTTCAGGCCACCGGAAGCCTCGAGTTCTTGCTCCATCTCCCCAATCAACGTATCTACTTGGTGGCCGCCGGCACGCGCGACTTCGAGAGCCTCGGCCTCGGCCTTGTCGTTGCCACCTCCACCCATTGTATATGAGTTTGCAGCTCTTTCTCAGAACAAGGTTATCAAGCGTGATGGACGGGCTTGACGGCTGGAGTTGAAGTTGACAAAAGCGGTGATGGACGAGGAGAGTTGCGACTGAAGATGCTACGGTTCGTATTGCCACTCCAAGCGGGTCTGTGTGGCATTTTATATCTGGCATGATCATGTCCGCAAAAGAAAAGCCTTGTTGTCACTACTACTACTACTACTACTACTTAAAACCGGTGTTTATGCCGTTGGTCGGGGGTTACATTGTGGAGGGGGCCTGGGGCTCCAGATGGGGACCCCAGCATGTAGTGGAAAGAGGGAAGAATAGTAATATCTGCCTGTTTCTTGACTCGTATGTTTCTTTATTCGACCGAACAAGTGGCCGACAAGGGTGCTGGAATCGCGTCAACACATCGATGGGTAGGCCGCATTTGACAATGGATGTCACCAGACGTTTGAAACCAATATACGTAATAAGTGGTGTGGTTGAATGCGGATTGCCGACATCGCGGTCGGGCTCGCCGATGAACGAGGATGTGTTTTCAACGGTATCTATGAGTGAAATGGGCCAATGAAGTCAGAAAACAAAGAACTATGCAGTCTGGGGGGAGGTGGTGGTGGTATGAGACCGAGATGCTCAAAGCGAAGATCGCCAAGTGGTAAGTCCACGGCCCGTGTTACGCCCTGGGCGCACATCAAAATGATCGGGCCGGCAAATGAAGTGGACCAGGCTCAATTAGTGCGGCTTCACGCCCGTGCCACACTAATTTCTGCTGTCGCGGGCGACGACGACGGGTTGGTTGAGGCATTTTCACCGGTGGTTGGGGTTGGGGTTGACGTTGAGGACATCTTGGCAGCCACATCTGCAACGATTTCGGCAGAGCAACGTAGTAGAAAACGATGAGAGATGGCGCCCAGCCTCGTGCCAACGGCTAATGAATTATCCTTTTTGCCTTCAACGGCCGATGGTTTGGAGTGGACGAGGGTCGGGTGCCACAACCGTCAAGTGTGGCCAGGGCTTGTTGCTGTTGGTTGTTGTTGGCGCAATGTTTTTGGTCGGGTGAGTCTAGCGTCACTAGCTTCGTGCAGTTTCTAGAAAGCCTCCAGGGCATCTCGGACCGACGACATTTTCGAGAGCCAATCAAGTTCATCAACCTCGGTTTTCCTGTACAGAGGCCAAGGCAACAGGGCAGGTGGTCTGCAAATGAAGCAGACACGACATCAAGGACGGAGCAAAGGAGGAGGCGTATGCAGCGCATGATTTTTTGGGCAATTTCAAAATCATTCGACTCTTTGTGAGTAATGGAGGGGGAGGTTTGCTCCGTACGTCGGAAGCAAATATCTGCAAACTCGGACCAAGCTGCGTTTGTTGTTCACCAATTCCGGCGACCCAAAGCGAGCCCGAACTCGTTAAAACTGCAATGAAGCCAACTTTTTGGCACTACGGGACTGCTCGGGCCACTGCCGGCTGCCGAACTGGTTGCCCATGGGCAGGGATGGGATAATTCGTGCATCACCTTCCTACCTAGTACCCAACTATGTCTCAAGTCTAATTGTGGTACATCAAGGTCCGCTTGCCAGAGAACCTCACTCAATACTTATACCCTGCACGAAACAAGAAAGGAGTCAATACAACTGTCAATCAGTCATTGGTAGGTACGAAAGTATGAGGACTAAAGTTGGTGGCACGTGACGCCGGAGTTTTTTGCCCCTCCTAAACCCCGCCACGCCACCATCCCTACCTTTGGCAGCTTGTCTCCAATTTGTCCATCATCTCATGTTCCATCCAAGAGTACCAGTCTACACCGAGACGACTTGCTATCCTGCAAAATGCAATTGAAGACCACGCAACGGCTCGAGCTGCCGCCCACGGCGGACATGCATGTGCATCTGCGACAGGCCGAGCTCATGGAGCTCGTGGCTCCTACTGTCCGACAGGGAGGAGTTGACACCGTCTTTGTGTAAGAATCCATATTTTTTCATATACAAGTAGTACGTAATGGATGTATTACAATGCTGATTTATTCAAATAGTATGCCGAACCTTGTTCGTTCCCGTTGCCTGTCCCCTGTCCGCTGTGACGTCAGGTTTCACGTGGAAACATTTTAATCTTGGTGCTACTCAGGTTCCCCCCATTACAACTGTCGAAAGAGTACGTTGGATATCTGAATCGTTGATATAATGGGGCAACAAACGCGGCATGACCGAAGAAGCCAAACGCTAACTTTGAAATTGACAGGCGTTAGAATACAAGGCTCAGCTGCAAAAGATCGATCCAAATGTTCACTATCTTATGTCTCTATTCGTATGTGACGCGGTTCTCTGTAGACTCTGGCTTGGACATTCTAACAGAAGCGTAGCTCCATCCTTCTGTCACCCCCGATGTGATTGCCAAGGCCTCCGCCGCCGGTATCACTGGTGTCAAGATGTATCCCCAGGGTAAGGCTTGATGCGTATTGACTGCCTGCAAGCGAATGCTAACCTCCTCAGGTGTCACTACCAACTCTGAAAATGGCGTTGCCAATGTTGAGGCCTTCTACCCTACATTTGCTGCCATGGAAGAGAACGATATGGGTATGATGCCTTTGTCCCCTTCTATGATTTGTGGCCATGAGTCTTATCAACGGCAGTGCTGAACCTCCATGGTGAGG